TTAATTTGTAACAAAATTTAACAATAATTTTGTTATGTCGTGGTTTTCCTTCGAAATATGTCGTATATTAATATGCGAAATATGTAATGATATTGACCTGGGATCCATAAGGACCTGTACCACACACTTTTTGAAAGTCACCTATCTTATGGCATTACCGTTTGGGGAGGTGCAAGTAATAATAAATTTCAACCACTATTTGTAGCCCAGAAAAAGTGTGTTCGTATCATGTTTGGTGACAAAAAAGCATACCTTGATAAATTTATGACATGTGCTAGGACTAGACCTATCAGTGAACAGAAACTTACTAGCAAATTCTTTGAGAGAGAGCACACCAAGCCAATTTTTGCCCGTCAATCACTCATGACATTGCATAATTTATACGCGTATCACTGCTGCAATGAACTTTTTAAAGTCTTTAAATATCGAACACCAATTGCACTATTTGAACTTTTCTGTTGGTCTAAAAGACCCGGCAAAGAAACTCTTCTTATAACAACCATGCCCTCAAACAGTTTCGTTTACAAATCTAGTTGCCTTTGGAATTCATTCCGTCAGATGTTGGCACTGAACGACCTTGAAATCACTCATGGTGTATTCAAATCAAAGGTAAAAAAAGTCATTCTCTCGTCTCAGGGTAAAGGTGACAAGAATACCTGGGCCCCTTTGGCAAACTTTCTGAACTCAGGCAGCTTGAACGACTAAATTTGAAAAAATAAAACTTCTTGTCTGAATGAACTATTAGAACCTCAAGAAGCTGATCCGCATGTCTCCGCTACTAAAATGTTTAATGAGCCCAATCACTCATCACTTAACAGTTTAATCTTCAAAGTGAGTTGTACAATCTAGGTTGTTTTAAGTAGCTGTTGATAGTGTAAAACAGGAGTGACTTGATCGTTTTCATAACTTCGATTTACAATTTGTACCATAATAAAACTAGCACTGCCATGGGGTTCAAAAAGGGTCATTGTAAGCCTCCAGCGTAATGGTCCTAAGTCTCTGCCCCATGCAGTGCCTGTCAGCATCAGCTAACAGAATAGCCCTAACATAACGATCAAGCCACAAATTAGGTTCTATAATGATTTAATATTGTTGAATAAAGAGATTTGAATATTTTGTTTTATTCTGAATATTTGTTTTATTCTGAGTCAATTTAATAATGTATTGCGAGCAGCTGTGACTTAAATATCGCATAACAATTATATAACTTAATTTATAAGTTCTTTATAAGGAAAACAAAATTAATGTCAGACACGTCGCCACTCTCAGCAGTCAACCAGGGCTCATAAAAGCTTAATAGCGCCTGGGTCCTTTCACCAGCTGTGGCATGTGAGTGGTGGTGTGGTCAGACCTAACAGCGTGTATTATTAGTAAATACAAGCGCGCTAGCTGCTAGCATACTTGTATCACCTACTTTGAAATCAAGTTTATTCGGATATTTTAAATTTATTAATTGATTGTGTATTGAGCTAGTGATGATGGATGAATAATAAAATTGTCTTTTCTCAAAAATTGTCTTTTTTCATCTAAGTGTGATGTAACGTAGCCCTTCTATTTCAGCTGCATCAATACAATGGTTGAACAGTGCTTGGCTACGACGTGTCATAACATACAATGAACGTAGGTCACATTGCTGCTTGTGCTCATCAGTACCTGTGTGAGAGTCCGAGAAAGAAGCCTGACATGCAAAACAATACAACAGAGTCAAACAGTATATATACAATAAAGTAATTCAAGTGTTGCAATTGGCTGAGCACAATCCAGAGGTAACGGAAATTGTCCACTGCTACCAATATTACATAATAGCCTGACATGCAAAACCAAGCGAGACAGTGAAGATTTTAGACTCTGGATGGATGGTAGGCTCGTCATCAGAGTGTCTAGACCTAGCTTGCTGTCTGTTCCTTCAAACCGATTTACTTAGCAGCTGTTATTATTATTAAATCTAAAATAGCTAATAATTTAATAAATTATTAACAGGCCCCTTAACGTGGGCAATAATATACGCTTTATAAATTATATAAACAAATTGAAGTCTATTTTCCAATGTTGTTAAGTGTCTCTTTAGATCTGTTTTGGTCTTTCGTGGGAGTTCCCACATTTGTTGGTTGAGAATGCTCAACATAACATACATGATGCTTGACTGCTTTATTGACCCGGATAGGCACCGGGGGCAGACATCCCAACACCAGTGCGTTGGGACATAGTGTTGGTCTGCTTCAGGACGTGTTAGATCCTAGAGAAGCCGCCATCCCCTCTACTGCTTTAGCTCAGCGGCAGCATGAGCCCTGGTTTCCTGCCACATTGGTACCTCTGAAAGTACAGAAAAGTGGTGGATTTCGGGGTCCAGGATACTCCCTCTTTGTTCTTTATGGTGGTAATATTTCTCTGAGATGTTTGCAGAGTCTTTATTTCATGATCTTTCTAGTCGGATAAATCCTGGAGAGCATCATTTTGTCCCCAAAGAAATTCGACTCTCCTAATGAATGCTTTTTGTGTGCTGCTTTTTGTTAACACTTCATCTAGATAGGAATGTGAGTCTGCCCCACCCAGCTCTTCTTTCAGTTGCAGGTAACTGGTGTCTTGCACCTCCAGACACAATAGGAGCTGGTGTACGGGGGAATCAATGAAGCTGTTACAGAAACGACAGGCCTCACCACTGCCACCACCCATGATCTTTTGGATGTTCGCAAAGAGTGGTGAGCTGCCGTGAATGTAGTCCATTATTCGGCTGTCCAGATTTTTACTCGTGTTGTGCCCGAATAAAAAGTTGTTTTTGTCTAGGAGCAGCCCACTGTTTTTGATCTTTGTGATCACACCGAGTATCTTGGTCTCCTTGTTGTTACTGACAGTTCTGCATTGCAGATTTGTTTCGATGCTGTCAATCCAGATCTTATTTTTGTAGCTCATCAGCTGTAGGTTATACAATAAATTCCAAAATCCTAATTTTGTATCGTGATGGAGACCGGTGTCCAAACAAAACTTTTACTAGGTTGTTAATCTATTCAAAGAGTGAAAGCCAATTAGCGTAGTTGGTTAATCATCGGATTTGTAATCGTGAGATTGTGAGTTCGAAACCCACTGCCTGCCTAGTCGTGGGGTGAGTGTCGTCGACATTCAGCTAAAGATCCTGAGTGGTCTATGCAGCCCCCCGGTCTACTCAGCCGAATATTCGAGAAATCGTGTGTGAGGGTTAAATGAGAAGCTGTCCATTGCAGCGAAGTCTCGGGCGAAGAAAGTATGGTACACACTACCTTAACCGTCACTGGCCTAATTAAATCCTTCGGCTTCCTGTAATTGGCTAGTTACACTTGTGTAACAATGTGGCTGTTGGAATACTCCGAAGTAAAATAAGTGTGAGATAAAAAAAAATTGACCCTGCCAAAACACTTCAAAGATATGAGATATGAAAAGGTACCCTATGGTATATATATTACCCCTCAAGTTGCCCCTTAAGTTCTTATTTGCCATTGTTTACTGCTGTTTTACAGCACCAAATGGAAGCAGTGCTATCTCAGGGGGGGGGGGTCCAAGTGGATATTTGTAGATATTTGGATAATGTCATCCACTTTTTCGTGAATTATCCATTACAATAATCTACAAATATCTACATTTATCTACAAAAAATGTATATCTCAAATATGTGCCCAGAAATTCTACTGAATTTTTGGAGATAAATGTATAAATTTGTAGAATTTGTAGAATTTTCGTGAATTATCCATTGACAATAATCTACAAATATCTACATTTATCTACAAAAAATGTAATCTCAAATATGTGCCCGGAAATTCTACTGAATTTTTGGAGATAAATGTATAAATTTGTAGAATGTCATCCACTTTTTTCGTGGATTATCCATCCTACATTAATCTACAAATATCTACAAATATCCACTTGGCTCCCCCCCTATCTCAGCCCCTGTTGCAATAGCAATAATAGCTGAAGATCAGAGAATTTGATAATCAGAGTGCAAAAAAACTACACAGCACTGTCATGTGATATGACAGATGGTGCAGGCCCAAACTATTTCATAAGGAGTTGAAAGCCATCGAATTATTCATGATATATATACATCATTTATACTTTCGTTGATACTTTCATTTAAAGTCTAAAGATTTAATTCTACTGGGAGAGGTTTTTGAAATAAGAAAGTAACTTCTGAAGAACTTACATGTTAATTGTCTTGATCTTCGGATTTGATTATTATACAGGGTGAGCCAAAAGTCAGTACCCATACGTTGGCCTTTATAGCTCAGTCACTGAGTGCCCAATTTAAATACTTCTTTCTGGTATGACTTAGTACCACCACTGGTTCGAGGAATTTGTCAACTCGAAAAATATTCGCGTTCATTTTTTTCAAATGGAGGTTCATTTTCACATTTATTTGATAGTTTGGATAGTCTGATCAAGCTAAATGTTATTGAATTGTGTTTGGGCCATTCGAATTACGTTTGTCCTGAAAGAATTAGAACTGTAGCTTCTCAGATGACCGAGATATGAAGCATAACGAGTTTATTCATTACGTGTGATCAGGTGATTGGTTTACCTAATCACGTGATAAGGTGCCCCCGTTAACTACCCCGTTAAACATTATGGGAATTGTTAAGGGTGCCCAATTAAGGTGTCGTGTCACGGTGTCACATAATCACCCAGTCAATATTGTTAACGAGATACATAAAATGCTTGATAACTTCGTCATTTCTAATCCGTTTTGCCTCATGTTTTCAGATCATATGCAACATTTGATAATCTACCGTCTCTGAAAAAATTAGGCGTTCATCATGTTCAGAGAAAACAATATAGGTGTTTTAATATTGAATGGGCGTGGTCTAAAATATTCGAATTTTCAAATTTTGACGACGGAATCCTCGAACCAGTAAGTACAGTATGCCATCTGCAAAGCAACAGCTCTCAAATATAAAACACGGCGGAGCTATTAAGGCCAACGTATGGGTACTGACTTTTGGCCCACCCTGTATGTTTTCACCTTGACTTTTGCAGTTTAGCAATGATAACTGCAGCCGACCAGCAAATTCAGATTAAACTGAAAACAACAGAAGAACAGTATGTGATCGATCAGAATGTTTTCTCGGTTTCAAGCAACTCGTCTCAAGTTGAATTGCAGGATCTGATCAAGAACCTTCTTGAAATATCAGAATCAGACACTGAATTCAGCTTCCGAGTTGGTGATGAAATCCTTCAAAATACTCTCAGAAAATACTGTGAGAGTTCCAATTTCTCTGGTGAGGTAGCATTGGAAATAGAGTACCAAGAAAAGCGAAAGGCTCCCGAGGAATCTGTTGTTATTGATCTAGACGATTGGATTGGTGGGGTGGTAGCAATAGATCCTCTTTGTTTTGCTGGACTGTACAATGGACAATTAGCAGTCATCAGTTTAGATGGATCCAATAAAACATATGAAATACACAGCAAACCTATCAAAAGCATTGGATATATCAAGCAGTACAAAGAAAATGAAAAGCAGAAACATTTATTAGTGACATCGTCTTTAGATCAGAATCTGAGCTTTGTTGCTGTTGATGACACTGAATGTACATCTCTGTATACCTTGAAAGGACATACAGAGACAGTGAATTGTTGTGCTGTAAGCCCTTCAACAGAACAGGTTGCCAGTGGTTCATGGGATACTCATTTGAAGGTAATGTTCTTAATTGGTATCTCTAAACCTATATAAATAAAGTGTAGCCTTGAAACTCACGTTTCAGTAGTAGACTTTTACAAGTAAAAAACTTTTACAAAACTTTTACAAAAAACGAGGGCGTTGACTGTAGTGATCTCAAAAATACAATCCAATTCATCATTTTAAACATTAAATCGTTTGAACATGTTCAGGTGTGGTCTACTTCCCTCAACGAGCCATGTGATAGTGACCCACGCAGCAAACGCAAGAAAAACGCTGGCTCCCCCCAATCAGCCCTCCTCAGAACCCCTCTTTTGACATTAGGTACTTTGTTTGGAACTGTGTCTCTAGAACTAAATAGCATGTTTTGAGATTTATAGATTCTTTGAAATTATTAGTAATTTGAATGAGGATGTACAAATTGGTCGATTAATTGAAGATGAACCAACCAACAATTAAAGTTGTTGATTTTTTCGAGGATTTCAAACATTTTATAATCTTCTTTTGATTGGTCGGCGTCGACTGTAAGCCTTCCTTGCGGTGGCTTTCACAACGCGTCCCCATTCTCCAACTCCTGCTGCTGGAGAGAGAGACTCCCAAATTATATACTATAAATATATTATACATAGATATCGACAACAGACTCCGAGAGTCTTGAAGTTCTGTTACCACCGCCCCTGGTGCAACCCCTTACGGGTTAACGATGGGGAGATAGGGACTTCATTTTATAATCATGTTTCAGCCTTTGATGTTTTAAGTGGTTCACTTACGTAACATTATTACTATGTTCCATGCACAGTTAATGGTTTTATTAGTTGGTAAACACATAATCACACGCCTCAAGCTGGTCACACACAAGCAGTAACAAGCGTGTACCTTTACATACCTAGCCTTACATACCTTACATACCTTACATACCTTACATACCTTACATACCTTACATACCTTACATACCTTACATACCTTACATAATCACACTCCTCAAGGTGGTCACACGCAAGCAGTAACAGGCGTGTGCTGGAAAGATAACTCTCAGCTGATAACTTCTTCTTGCGATATGTCTGTCAAAATATGGGACACTCAGCTCATGTCATGGTTTGTTGGGCTTTTTCACTTTTACTTGGCTTCCAGTTTGACATGAACATAAAAATAATTTGAATGTGAAGTTGTTTCACTTTGAGCATCGTGTGTTGAACTTATTGTAACTTCAAAATATTTCAGTGAAGTGTTTTCGAAGCTTCAAAATATATCGATTTAAATTTTAACATATATCCTTAAATTTCATTAATTCACTTTCACGTTAACCTAAACTGTTTATATTGCAGCGCGAGAACTATCACAGTGACCTCGTCTCTTCAGAGTGTGGCTTGGTCAGACAGGTCACAGCTTATTGCTACAGGTTCATCCGACAAATACGTCAGGTCAGTTTAATGGTTACTCTTATATATAATAACTATAAAGCCCGTGATCACAGGGAGGAAAGTAATAGTATTCTTTGGTACTCAGTTTTTATAGCATCAAAAAATATCCGTCACATCCGAGTATACAGCCCATTAAAATGCAGCTCGCACTGAACACGACGTAATTACTAATTACCACAAATAGTCATGGATCTGACGACATTCCCGTCTATATAACTTCCGCCCCGGGGTTTGAGACTTGGAATACCTCAAGGGACCCATTAGAAACAAATTTGGCTTGGGTAGAAATTTTGGCTATGGTGCAGTTTTGCGCAATTGACCACGCCCTTTTTTGGCGCTTTTGCAACTTTAGAATCAAAATAACTCCGCTTCTAATTGGAATTAGAAGCTCAGCTTGGCTTTAAAGTTGTTCAGAATCATCACATTTAGGGGGGTAGAGCATAATTTTAAAGTCAACAGACATCGGGTTGTTGAGTTATGTGACCACACCCTTATTTACCCTCGCGAGTCGTGATTTTCACACTAAATACGAGATATCTCGGCTTCTGATTGAGCTACGTGCTCATCCTGGGCATTAAAATGTTCAGAATCATCACATTGAGTAGGGTAGAGCACAATTTCAAAGTCCTCAGATGTCAGGTTGTTGAGTTATTCGGCCCCAACCTGTTTTTACGCTCTCGCGGGTAGCGATTGCAGCGCTTAAAATCAAAATAACTCAGCTTCCAATTGAAGTTAGGAGCAAAACTCGGGCAGCAAAATGTTCACAATCATCACATTGAGTGGGGTAGAACGTAGTTTCAAAGTCCTCAGACGTCAGGTTGTTGAGTTATTAGGCCCCGCCCAAATGTTTACGCACTCGCGAGTCCCGATTCGACGCTTAAAATCAAAATAACTCTGCTTCTGATTAGAGTTAGGAACTAAACTTGGGCATTAAAATGTCCAGAATCATCACATTGAGTGGGGTAGAACGTAGTTTCAAAGTCCTCAGACGTCAGGTTGTTGAGTTATTAGGCCCACACCATAGTATTTACGCTCTCGCGAGTCGCGAGTGGACACTTAAAATCAAAATAACTCGGCTTCTGATTAGAGTTAGGAACAAAACTTGGGCATGGAAATGTTCAGAATTATCACATTGAGTGGGGTAGAACGTGGTTTCAAAGTCTTCAGACGTCAGGTTGTTGAGTTATTAGGCGGAACCCTATTTTTACGCTCTCGCAAGTCGACACTTAAAATCAAAATAACTCGGCTCCTGATTAGAGTTAGGAACAAAAGTTGGGCATGGAAATGTTCAGAATTATCATATTAAGTGGGGTAGAACATAGTTTCAAAGTCTTCAGACGTCAGGTTGTTGAGTTATTAGGCGGAACCCTATTTTTACACTCTCGCGAGTCGCGAGATCGACACTTAAAATCAAAATAACTCGGCTTCTGATTAGAGTTAGGAACAAAACTTGGGCGTGGAAATGTTCAAAATTATCATATTAAGTGGGGTAGAACGTGGTTTCAAAGTCTTCAGACGTCAGGTTGTTGAGTTATTAGGCGGAACCCTATTTTTACGCTCTCGCGAGTCGACACTTAAAATCAAAATAACTCGGCTTCTGATTAGAGTTAGGAACAAAACTTGGGCGTGGAAATGTTCAAAATTATCATATTAAGTGGGGTAGAACGTGGTTTCAAAGTCTTCAGACGTCAGGTTGTTGAGTTATTAGGCGGAACCCTATTTTTACGCTCTCGCGAGTCCCGAGTCGACACTTAAAATCAAAATAACTCGGCTTCTGATTGGAGTTAGGAACTAAACGTGGACATAAAAATGGTCAGAATTATCACATTGAGTGGGAAAGAGTGTGGTTGTACGGGATTTATAGAGTATTCACTGTTTGCTCTGGGCGAAACTTACTTTTTCTGGTTATTAATTTAATTTTCAAAAAATAGGGTGCTGCCTAATAACTCAACAACCTGACGTCTGAAGACTTTGAAACCACGTTCTACCCCACTTAATATGATAATTCTGAACATTTCCATGCCAAACTTTTGTTCCAGACTCTAATCAGGAGCCGAGTTATTTTGATTTTAAGTGTCGACTTGCGAGAGCGTAAAAATAGGGTTCCGCCTAATAACTCAACAACCTGACGTCTGAAGACTTTGAAACTACGTTCTACCCCACTCAATGTGATGATTGTGAACATTTTGCTGCCCGAGTTTTGCTCCTAACTTCAATTGGAAGCTGAGTTATTTTGATTTTAAGCGCTGCAATCGCTACCCGCAAGAGCGTAAAAACAGGTTGGGGCCTAATAACTCAACAACCTGACATCTGAGGACTTTGAAATTGTACTCTACCCTACTCAATGTGATGATTCTAAACATTTTAATGCCGAGTTATTTTGATTTTAGGTGTCGACTCGCGACTTGCGAGAGTGTAAAAATAGGGTTCCGCCTAATAACTCAACAACCTGACGTCTGAAGACTTTGAAACCATGTTCTACCCCACTTAATATGATAATTCTGAACATTTCCATGCCCAACTTTTGTTCCTAACTCTAATCAGGAGCCGAGTTATTTTGATTTTAAGTGTCGACTTGCGAGAGCGTAAAAATAGGGTTCCGCCTAATAACTCAACAACCTGACGTCTGAAGACTTTGAAACCACGTTCTACCCCACTCAATGTGATAATTCTGAACATTTCTATGCCCAAGTTTTGTTCCTAACTCTAATCAGAAGCCGAGCTATTTTTATTTTAAGTGTCCACTCGCGACTCGCGAGAGCATAAATACTATGGTGTGGGCCTAATAACTCAACAACCTGACGTCTGAGGACTTTGAAACTACGTTCTACCCCACTCAATGTGATGATTCTGAACATTTTTATGCCCAAGTTTAGTTCCTAACTCTAATCAGAAGCAGAGTTATTTTGATTTTAAGCGTCCGAATCGGGACTCGCGAGTGCGTAAACATTTGGGCGGGGCCTAATAACTCAACAACCTGACGTCTGAGGACTTTGAAACTACGTTCTACCCCACTCAATGTGATGATTGTGAACATTTTGCTGCCCCGAGTTTTGCTCCTAACTTCAATTGGAAGCTGAGTTATTTTGATTTTAAGCGCTGCAATCGCTACCCGCGAGAGCGTAAAAACAGGTTGGGGCCTAATAACTCAACAACCTGACATCTGAGGACTTTGAAATTGTGCTCTACCCTACTCAATGTGATGATTCTGAACATTTTAATGCCCAGGATGAGCACGTAGCTCAATCAGAAGCCGAGATATCTCGTATTTAGTGTGAAAATCACGACTCGCGAGGGTAAATAAGGGTGTGGTCACATAACTCAACAACCCGATGTCTGTTGACTTTAAGATTATGCTCTACCCCCCTAAATGTGATGATTCTGAACAACTTTAAAGCCAAGCTGAGCTTCTAATTCCAATTAGAAGCGGAGTTATTTTGATTCTAAAGTTGCAAAAGCGCCAAAAAAGGGCGTGGTCAATTGCGCAAAACTGCACCATAGCCAAAATTTCTACCCAAGCCAAATTTGTTTCTAATGGGTCCCTTGAGGTATTCCAAGTCTCAAACCCCGGGGCGGAAGTTATATAGACGGGAATGTCGTCAGATCCATGACTAAAATTCTTATTTAAAAAACGTTAAAACAATCATTGCACGCGCGTGTTTCAACACCGCACCGTTACCATCTTACCATGGTTACTATGCAACTTCCTATTTCTCATATGATTTACACGTGGGCGGTCGTACAAAAAGAAAGTAATAATAATAATATGTATAATTACTGTTACTGACCTGTGTGATCAAGTGTACAAATCAAGTGTACAAATTAAAGGAACAAATATCACCTTCCCGGTGCAATGTATGCACTATGATAATTATACTAATCTAATTAATTAATTGTATAATTAATTATTTATCTAATTAATTTATTATATAATTAATTAACCCAACAGGTTGTTTGATCCTCGTGGCTCAAGCGGTACAATAGTACACAGCACACTACAGGGACATGACATGTGGGTGTCATGTGTTAAGTGGTCACCTACCAGTGATGTGGAGATGGTATCCGGCTCGTACGATGGCAGGACTCTCTTGTGGGATATCAGGAGCCCTAGGTCTCATCTTGCTGTTATAAGTGAGTTAGATAATACTGGTTTAATTAGTTAATTAGTTAGATAATACTGGTTTAATTAATTAATTAGTTAGATAATACTGGTTTAATTAATTAATTAGTTAGATAATCACACAGTGACTAAGTAACTATTAGTGTAGTAATTAGTTATGTAACAATGATAAGCGCACTACATTGAACTAAAGTACCATGACAAATGACTATTTACCGTGAACAATAGACTTTGGTTTGGTACACCAACATTGTTTATACTGCAACCTGTGTATGAGGGGGGAGACTGGTTAGCTGGGGGGAGGGGGGGGGGGGTATAGGTAGTTATAGTGCTTACGTTCTTAATTCTTATGTCAATTTTTGTTCGGCGAAACAATAGGTTTGACACACATTTAAAATAATTGCAATGCCACATAATACTAAACATAATGTTTCGCTATTTTGTCGAAGCTAACCGTAACACTGTTACCAGGTACCCACGAAGACAAAGTACTGTGCTGTGATTGGTTGGAAGGGCGTGTTATCAGTGGTGGTGCGGACTCAAAACTTCACATCTCTAACCTTTAAATACAGCACTTTCTGTTTCACTTTCTGTTTCACTTTCTGTTTCACTTTCTCTAACCTTGGCGTTTAGATACATGATTTGCACTGAAATAATTGGATCTGTTTTGGAGTTTACCAGATTGGAGTCGTGGGACAGATTGGTTATTTGGTAAATTTGACCTGTTGATCTTGTGTTACTGTGCAATCTAATTGTGCGGAATTTTTTCAAAGATTAATAATGTTTGACAGTTCAGCTTTAGGGGTGAATTTTTATGGTTTTTATTTTGTTCATTAACTTATTACCCATTTTAACTTCATTTAACTTTATTCTGACTGTAGTGTCTTCTCTTTCCTATAGATGTGGATACTCATGGGGAGGTGTTACGTGTTTGTTTACTTTAATAGTAAGCCCCCGTGCCCTGTTAGGCGGGTTGAAGGGGTGATACATATTTTGTATTATGGAACGCTTGTAACACTTGTAACGCCTTCTTGTTACCCCCCCCCCCCCCCCCCCCCCCCCCCCCTTTGAAGGCCCCGAATTATTTTCTGAACGAAAGCTCAAGAATAACCGAGAAATCGACCTTTTTATTAACTCATTTTGATGACTGTTTCTGCCCTAAAATTGCACGAAAAATCGATTTAGCTAGGTTTCAGAACCTATAAACACTTCCTTACCCCTCAAAATTGATGTTTTTTAGTTGATACAAGCAACAAGCAACATATTATGTGTTGATCCTTCGGTTCTACAGCTCTTGACCTAGGGTTGAAACCGAAAGATCGAGGCAATCCTCACCTTAACTGATCAAACTGGTACTAACAGAATTTTCAGGTAGAAATGTTCTTTGCGATACGTATATTGCAGCTTTGCAACTTGAGTGAAGACCAAAGTACGAAAACACACATGCACAGCAGGTAAGCAACTCACTTTTAGTGACTTGAACGAGAAATCGATTTAAATTCCTTTCACAGCCCAACAACACTTCCTTATTCCTCAAAATTCATGTTTACTCAAACGAAGAACATTCTGATCCTGCAATATAATAAGAACAAGGAGATCGTCTCCTTAACAAATTGAACAGGTACTATCACAAGTTCCAGAGAAGAGCACGATCGGTGTCACGTGACATAACACCTCTATTACAATTGGTCGCTCGGTTAGAATCACGGAGCACATTATGGCTGCCCGTCGTCAGAACAAATTTAATTCAGTTGTTAGTTTGATTGTTATATTGTGGTGTTCGTAACCTTCCTTCATTGTGTTTCTTTTGACTTTGTTGTCATGCTCTTGTCTGGAACTTGTGATAGTACCTGTTCGATTTGTTAAGGAGACGATCTCCTTGTTCTTATGTTGCAGGATCATAATGTTCTTCTTTTGAGTAAAACATGAATTTTGAGGGATAAGGAAGTGTTGTTGGGCTGTGAAAGGAACTTAAATCGATTTCTCGTGCAATGTTAGGCGAGGAACAGTCACCAAAAATGAGTTGCTTATAAGCAACTCATTTTTGGTAAGCGCTTACCTGCTGTGTGTTTTCGTACTCTGGTCTTCACTCAAGTTGCAAAGCTGCAATAAACGTGGGAGGGATAAGGAAGTGTTTATAGGTTCTGAAACCTAGCTAAATTGATTTTTCGTGCAATTTTAGGTCAGAAACAGTCATCAAAATGAGTTAATAAGAAGGTCGATTTCTCGGGTTATTTTTGAGCTTCCGTTAAGAAAATAATTCGGGGCCTTCAAAGGAGGGTAACAAGAAGGCGTTACAAGTGTTATGTAAGCGTTCCATAATACAAAATATGTATCACCTTTTTTGTTGTTGATTTGGGGACTGTACTGGTTTATAAGCCAGTCTTCAACCCGCCTAACAGGGGCTTACTATTAAAGTAAACAAACACGTATCACCTCCCCATGAGTATCCACATCTATTATACTCAATTATTATAAAATTTGTAACTCATGATGAAATGAAACGAAATGAAACAATGTGCTTGTATACCGCTCATATGATTAAAGCAACTTACACAAGTGTCAGGTACTAACCACGTCATTGAAAATTGTTCAAAACATATGAAAGTATTGCAGTCAATTAAAAGCGATAATAAGGAGACAACAAAGTGACCCTCCTTTATTGATTAAGCTGATAAATTAAAAAAACATATCACAGCTGCTCCTTTATAAAGATTATTTATCACCAAGGTAGCATGTCCTGGTGGTGGTTGGTTAGTTTCTTGTTGCTATTGTCAGATGCAGTCAACAGAAACAACTTCAAGACATGCGACCAGAGCGGCTTCTGCAAGTACGTCATCAATTTCTTTTCACTTTCGCAGTATTGATTTTAAATATATCTCAAAAGAAGAAACAAAATAACTTTTAAATGATACAGCTGGTAACATGATTTACAATTCCCTTCAAATGCATGAACACATAATGTGATTTATCAACTTTCACATTCTGATTCACTTTCTATTTCACTTTCTATTTCACTTTCACTTGACACTACTCCAGGAGATTACGAGGTATGGAGGAGAATAAGAGCGGTTACTACGTGAACCCTGAGACAATCAATCAAGTTAACTCGAGTTCTGTTACTTTCACTGTGAAGCACGAGATGGAGAAACACGCTCACACTGTTATATTGAGGGTGCTCAAGGTGGCGAGCTTATTTAATTTAATCAGTAATTAAGTAGAGTAATTACTTAATTAATATAACTTATATATAAGTTACTTAACAACACGCTCACACTGTTATATTGAGGGTGCTCAAGGCGGGGAGCTTACTTTTCTTAATCAGTAATTACTGACTTACTTGACTTGACTTAAGGCGGGTAGTATTCCCGAGATCATTTGACAACAGTTCTCCACAGCTTTCTGTCTTCCATCAGTCTAGCTATCTCATCTACTGACTTCAGCCCAGTATCTGCTTTTAGGTTATCTAGTCTAGTAGTGTGAAGTGAGGTCGCTGCGCCCCCTGTTAGTATGCCCATGATCAGTAATTAAGTAGAGTAATTACTTAATTAATATAACTTATATTATATAAGTTACCTAATAACACGCTCACACTGTTATATTGAGGGTGCTCAAGGTGGCGAGCTTACTTTAATTATGCTTTTTAAAACTTTTTTAGAGAGGCTGTACCTGGGTTACACAATTAATTTACGTGCACCTTGTTAATTATGCTCTTACTGTTGTTATGTTACTTAAATTAACGTACATTAATCATTATCTTCATAGAAAGCTCTCACTTTTTCCAGTTTCTAGTTTTAAGTTTCTGTCACTGTTCCTTCAATGCAAATTTTCCGCAGGATAGCACTATACGGTTAACAGCACAAGAGAAGGAACCAGTCCACCCCCGGTACAGTCCTGTTGATAGTTTGGGGGAGGCGCCATTACAGGATCAGAGGTTAGAAAGTAGAAACTACTTTCACTTTCACTTTTAGAAAGAAGTCTGATTCTACTATGTACATTTAATACCCTCATCCTATTCTAACTTGTAGTGTACATTGTACAATGTACATTGTACATCATAAGACAGTATATATTATATATTAAGGAATTAACATTAACCCTTACTTTCAGCTGTACTCTCAGTAAGTCAGGTCAGACTGCTACAGTCTCTTTCTCCTCCCACAAAGCAGTGTTGAACTACAACCCCCTGCGTATTGACGTTTACGCGCAGGAGACCCTGGTGGCGAGTGTTAACGCACGTGGCCTCTTTCACGTGGAGACGCAGCTTCTTAAACCGTTAGTTATATTGTACAGGGTGGGCCAAAAGTCAGTACCCATACGTTGGCCTTAATAGCTCCGCCGTGTTTTATATTTGAGAGCTGTTGCTTTGCAGATGGCATACTGAATATACTGGTTCGAGGATTCCGTCGTCAAAATTTGAAAATTCGAATATTTTAGACCACGCCCAATCAATATTAAAACACCTATATTGTTTTCTCTGAACATGCTGAACGCCTAATTTTTTTAGAGACGGTAGATTATCAAATGTTGCATATGATCTGAAAACATGAGGCAAAACGGATTAGAAATGACGAAGTTATCAAGCATTTTCTGTATCTCGTTAACAAAATTGACTGGATGATTATGTGACACCGTGACACGACACCTTAATTGGGCACCCTTAACAATTCCCATAATGTTTAACGGGGTAGTTAACGGGGTCACCTTATCACGTGATTAGGTAAACCAATCATCTGATCACACGTAATGAATAAACTCGTTATGCTTCATATCTCGGTTATCTGAGAAGCTACTGTTCTAATTCTTTCAGGACAAACGTAATTCGAATGGCCAAACACAATTCAATAACATTTAGCTTGATCCGACTATCCAAACTATCAAATAAATGTGAAAATGAACCTCCATTTGAAAAAAATGAACGCGAATATTTTTCGAGTTGACAAATTCCTCGAACCAGTGGTGGTACTAAGTCATACCAGAAAGAAGTATTTAAATTGGGCACTCAGTGACTGAGCTATAAAGGCCAACGTATGGGTACTGACTTTTGGCCCACCCTGTACATTATATAGGTATATTATTATTATTTGTTAGTTATATTGTATAGTTATTATTATATATTATATATTATAGGTATATTATTATTATCTGTTCATAATATTCCTGGTATTCCTTATATTTGTCCATATAATATAATAAATTCTGAACTGACGTTAAAGTGCATAATTTTGATTATTCCATACTAAGTTTCGCTTGAATGACTTAAATGTACATCTTCTTTGGGTATATTTTTTATTTTGAACCGTCTAATAACTTAATAAATGTTGGAATTTATTTATTTATTCATTTTTAGCTAGTGACTTGATCTGCATGTTAAATTAGATAATCTTTGTACACTGAACAGAGCGGCCCACAATGAATTACCCGCTAATTACCCGAAACTAAAATGTGGAAGTTTGAGAGTTGTCCCTCTGATACCAGAGTTCAGTTTCATAATCCTTTTTATAGTTGTGACAGTCGCTATGTTGGAGGCTGTCACTCTAGACTCAAGATATTATGTCGAAAGTGTTATCGAGAAAGTTAAAATAAAAGTGAAAGTGAAAGTGAAAGTGAAAATGAAAGTGAAAGTAAAACTGTTGGGTATTTTGTTGGGTGTCGCTCTGATTAACGGGATGCTCTTGTCATGGCATATAATGCTGGGTATTCTGTTAGATCCGCTAATATAAATTGAATGTTATAATTATATTGTTGTATAATACATTATTGGGATTATTGACTTATAACTTAATATTGCGTTATCGGTTTTTCAGGAGTAGTATAAGATTCTATTAATGTGTTTAATAGATTGATTTAAGCTTTACTTTTAGACCAAGACTTAGATCTTTACTATTACATTCAGCGTGCATCAATTATAAAAATTTTCTCGAAGCATCTAACCCGTAGTCTTTGCTCTGATTTGGATCACCAAAGAACAAAAAAGTAGTCCATTAGGGTATCACAAGCTCACGACCACAATTCAAGAGAGCCTATTTTTGCTTTCTTGCGGTACATGCTATATATAATATCTCGACTTACATTAAATGTATGTTACCATAGCAAGGTGGCTACACCCTGCATGGTTGCTATGATATACACGTTGCTACGGTAACGATATACACGTTGCTATGGTAACGATAGTTTTTCTCGCAGATCGCTAATGTCTCGTGTAGGACAGAAATTGTCAGATTTAGGGAACAAAGCCTTGTCCTTAGGGAGCAACCTCATTAGTACTTTTAAGAGTGATCCAAGGTACGACAACCTTAACTTGCCATCATACATATGCTCCTTCATAATCTTTTTTATTAACAAATCTCAACATTATTTTTGCATTTTCTTAACCACAGAAAGCAACATCTGCTGTTTTTTTAGTAAGGATTTTCCCTGAAAAATTTCTGTTTACTTTGTGTGAAACGTTCGTTTTTAAATAGATTATATTTTTCTTCTTTGCTTAATGTTAATGATTTCGTAGCAAAACTTCGAATCTTCTAGAAGCAAGTTTTAAAGGGGCTGAATTGCTGTTCAACCGATCACAAATTTGTGTGTATTTGCTGTGCTGTTACTCCTTATAATATTCTAATAGTTATGAGCTAAGCACAGCTCGCATCTTACCTCCTGATTTAAAAGTTACTTTGTTGACATTGAAATATATATATTTATTATCTGCAAAATTCTTATCTCTCTTAGTACATCAAGACTGTATATTAGCTGCATTATATTTGAATGTTGATAAGTATTTAATTGTAGTAAACCATATTATATAATCCCTGTCGCGAAACTCCCGCTTTTTGCTTTAGTAATGGAGTTGAATGAGGTTGCAGCAATTTAATTTACTAAATGGTATAAAATTTCTTATAATTAATTAGCATCTCTCATAATAATATAATATTCAGAACATGATAGCTCTTGAACTCAAAACTCGAAGGCTTATGATATAGAACAATATAATAGTAGCTCAAACTATATAGTGAAATGAAGGTTGAAGCTAATCAGACTTCACTTTCACTTTACCACCATACTCCCCCAGTGAAGTGAATGAGGAAGAGCATCAGGAAGGAGAGGAGGGCGAGAATGAGGAGGATGATTTGGGAATATCAGCTGAGGAGATAGCTAAAATGGACTGGGAGGAGAGTTTCAACTCTCATCACGACTCAAATCCTAGGTTAGTGAAATATAGTGAAACATATCACAGTACCACGTCTTATTCTCATGAGTAGAATCCTAGGTTAGTGAAATATAGTGAAACATATCACAGTACCACGTCTTATTCTCATGAGTAGAATCCTAGGTTAGTGAAACATATCACAGTACCACGTCTTATTCTCATGAGTAGAATCCTAGGTTAGTGAAATAGAAATATTGTGAAGCAGTCTACATGCTTTAATTAAAGTTACTCAGTCAGTTTGTCGTTAAAATATTTTCTTTGATACTAAAAAGTACTTAAATTCTTGTGTCGTACACGTGTCGTCACGTGACCATTGTAACGATACACGTGTAGTCACATCACGTGACCTAGCTAACCGTTTTATTTATTATTTTATAATTATTATATTTATTTCAGAGGACCCAGAGCGATATCACTGGACGTTACTTTTACCGGATTTGATAAATTGTACGGGTTACCTGAACACGCGGACACGCTGGCTCTCAAAGGGACTGGGTTAGTGGTTGGATTGTTTATTATTAACACGTGATATGACGTCACACCACATGATATGAAGTCACAGTGCGCCACGTGATATGAAGTCACACTGCGCCACGCGATATGACGCCACACCATGTCCCATGACCACGTTATATTACGTCACACCACGTTTAATGAAGTCACACCACTTGCTCTCAAAGGCAGTGGGAAAATGTTCAAGATAATAGCATTGCGGCTTGTGAGTCAGTACTGCTCTAAGAATCAGAAACCTGGACACTGACAAAAACTGGACGGGACATTCACAAAGATGTTGCGTATGCCGTATGGTGCTGGATATCTCATGGAAGGACAGCAATGTTACTTTGTATAGTAGCCTACCTAGGCTGTCAAACAAGTTACGAGGCAGGAGATTAAAAATGGCGGGACACTGCATCAGACATCCTGAGCTACTGGCCAGTGATTTAGTCTTATGGGAAACTTTGCATTGTAGAGAACAGCAAGGCCGACCAAGACAAAGCTATCTACATTATGTTACTGAGGGAAGTTGGGACAAACTCTAGAGAGGATATGAAGTCATACCACGTGCTATGACGTCACATCACGTGATATGACGTCACACTACGTGTCATGACGTCACACCACGTGCTATGACGTCATACTGTCCCAAGTACCAGTTAGTAAATACTATACCCCACTTTCAGTAGCACAGACCCATACCGGCTATACAATTTGGACGTGTTCGAGTACGAACTCGACAACCCAATGGCCCTTTACGGTGCAATCCCCTACGTCCACGCTCTCAGCCCAAAACACAGTGTTGGTATGATGTGGCTCAATGCTGCGGAAACTTGGGTCGATATTAACTATAGTAATGAAAAGGTTAGTTAGTTTCATGTGATATTTGATAGTTGGTTATTGATACCAATATTCTTATCAGTTAATGTAGTGGAACTGAATTTGTACACAGAAAATATCTTATTACTGATTTTAAACAAACGGGCAACCAAAATTATCTTAATTCTAAGACCCACTCAATAAATGTAACAACCCATCCTTGTCCCAGTCAATAGTGGGGCGGGTGCTATCCTCAATTATGTCATCGGATGAAGTCAGCAGAATAGATACCCATTTTATGTCTGAGAGTGGGCTGCTTGACCTTTTCTTGTTCCTCGGTTAGTTTTCTTAAATTCCCTCATTTTATCAACTTTCTGAAAGGAAGGACATTGAAATTAGCCCGTTATCACATTTAATAAATATGATAACGGACTAATTTCAATTTCTTTCCTTTAAGAAAGCTGATAGATATTATTTATGATATAATGTGGTTAATGAAATTTTGGTAGACTTGATCCGTTTAAAATAGTTTTCCTAATTTATTAATCACCCTAAATATTCAGGACCTACTCCTAAAGATGTAACAAGACAATACAGTAATGTGTTCGGGCCTAGCTATCTGCCACCGGTTGGTTTGATTATGATAAAGTTAATTTGTTTATAACTAAGGCTGGTTTGTTCATATAATAACTAAAGTGGGTTTGTTTACAACCTAAGTCCGCTTTTCAATTATATCCTTCTCATTTCGTTCATCATTTGTGACAAAGTAGTAAAAACTAAACGAATCATTTCAGCTTTTTGCGATCTCTTATCACCAGTGTAGATGGAATTATAACGACCAAAAGGATGTTCTAGGGTAAGCACTTCTACTGTACAAGCGCGGCATGACAAGTTTTAGCGGGGTATTGCTGAGTTCATGAATCCGAGATTTTGGAACAATTTTGGAACAGTGAGACAGAATTGAGACAGAATTGAGACAACTTTGGAACAGGCTTTTGGGGCAGTAGTTATGCCTGGGTTGACTTAAAATCTATCTGCTATGGTGGAGGGGTATGTTTACTAACATGTTCAGCCACTCAGAAGTGCCAAATGATCCCCTGGTTCATGAAATGAACGAAATGAACAAAAATGAACTTTACCCTAAAATCGCCTAAAATGAGTTGAAACCGATCAGAGTCTGTTGGTATTGATACCAGGAGTGTCCATGAAAAGTTTGGTGGCCCTAGCAAGCTCAGAAAAGGCTCTGGGGGCAATGTTCCATTTTGGTTTCAGAGTAGTTGGGATTCTGGAACAGAATTGAGACAACTTTGGAACAGGCTTTTGGGGCAGTAGTTATGCCTGGGTTGACTTAAAATCTATCTGGTATGGTGGAGGGGTATGTTTACTAACATGTTCAGCCACTCAGAAGTGCCAAATGATCCCCTGGTTCACGAAATGAACGAAATGAACAAAAATGAACTTTACCCTAAAATCGCTGAACAAGCTGGACCCACCAAACTTCCCGGGGACACTCCTGGTATCAATAGCAATCGATCCCAATCGGTTTCAGCTCAGTCTAGGACATTCTGAGACAATGTTCATTTTTTGTTCATTTCATTCATTCCATGAATTCGATAAATATTTCAAAACTAGCTGGAAATGTCAGTACACATGCCATCCTATCATACCAGAGCAAATGCGACTTAGTTTACGGACAAATACAGCCAAAAAACATCTATAAAAAGTTGTCTCAAACTGTTCCAAAATCTCGGATTCATCTTCTGGTATTGCTAGTTTTGTTGGATCGCTTGTATGTAAACAAAACTGTTTTATCGGTTAATTGGCGCGCACTCAGCGCCGCGCGACCTACCTCTACGTCAAAAACGTGTTCCAATTAATTAATAGCGTTTCTGCTTTCTGGGATACCAACACGTATTGAAGTTTGAACCTTGATCAACATTATTTGATTAACATCTGAGTAATAAAGCTCTTTGTTGGTGTTATAATTAAAACGAGGTCTTGTAGCCATCCATTGGAAATGTTATATTTTACATCAAGTGATCTTGAATAGAAAACTCATATTTCCAGTTTATTTAATCGTCCTTGTTCTCACTGCTACACACTATTTATATTGTACAGCAATTCTTCCTAGATTTGATACGAAGGATGTTTTTTCGGTTACTGACAATCAATAATTTCAGAGTTGACGCTAATTTTGATAAGTACGATATACCAATGGATGTAATCTGGCTAGATATCGAACATACTGATGGTAAAAGGTAAATCAATTGAAACATCTGATCATGTGGTCACACGTTGCGTTGTAACATACGGTCACACGTTGTAACATAATGATGGTAGAAGGTAAATCACTTTAAACATTTGACAACGTGTGACCACATGATTAGATGCTTATCATCTGAATTGGTTTTCTTCCTTTAAATTTTGATGACAGTAGAAAAATCAGAGCTGGCCTACTCGGGTGTCACGCCGGAGGTCCTGGTTATTTAATCAAGTGATCATGTAACCTGCTCATCACTTTGCTATCCATTACTATGGCCCTGAGGCCACAGGTAAGGATTACTCTACTGATACCCCCTGATACAATTCAGTAAGTATCCATATGTCAAAACAAAACGTTTCCTTGTGTTTGACATCTAACAATGAAAAATATTTCCTTGTGTTTGAAAGTGTGTACGAAGTATATTTGTTTCAGGTATTTCTCATGGGATGCTAGGAAGTTTCCTGACAGCAAGGAAATGTTGAGTACTTTAGCTGGTAAAGGTAGAAACATGGTTACTATTATAGATCCTCATATAAAGGTATGTCTTACTTCTCATTATAAAACTTGTCTTTTGACACATTTTATCTAAACATTTTATCTAATCATCTTATGAACAAGATAAGTGTATGATTTGTCTAAATTGGAAGTAACGATAACTTTAGTAAACTAAAACGTTTTCAACTTAAAGTTAAGTTAATAAATAACAGTTTTCAATGAAAACTGTCATCTCAAACAGTTTTGTGTATTTACGATCCAATCAAATGGCGACTTCTCTCAACATCAAATTCTCACTATCATCGATTGACGCCCCATATGCCAGGTTGACAAGAACTGGGGTTTGTACAAAGCGGGGAAGGATCACTCCACTTGTGGGATTTACGTTCAAAACAAGGACGGCGGGAACTTTGAGGGACACTGCTGGCCTGGTAAGGAATAACATCAGCTGTTGTCCTCATGTTAAACCACTGAAAACAATCCACAACTTAACAAATTTGTCATTACGTCACAATGTAAACAATTGATATGAAGTCCTACAACGTGCAGCTATGACGTCACACCACGTGACATGAAGCCACACAACGCGTTGTATGACGTCACACTTTGCCAGGTACCAGCTCGTGGATAGACTACACCTCGCCCTGTGCCCGACAGTGGTGGGCAGAACAATTCTCATACGACAATTACCAGGGCTCTTCTCCCTCGCTCTTCACTTGGAATGATATGAACGAGCCCAGTGTGTTTAATGGACCTGAGGTGGGACTATTTTAGCTAAATTTTAGACTAATTTAGACAAATTTTAGTGTTATGTGTTCTGAAGTCTATTGGTAATGTTATTGAGATTGCTAAGGGGGATCATTATCCTTCACCATTTATCCGAAACATGTCTCCATACATTTACCCTGGTATTACCAATACTGTGAGGTTTTTTTTCGCCATCCTCGCCATTAGTAATTAAAAATCCTAAAATCAAATGCGATCGTTTTAAAGTGGTTTTAACTCTGAGATGGACCAGGAAACCAAGAAAACTTCCTAGAACCTTCAACTCCCACTCCCCTCAGGTGAGCATGCCTAAAGACAACCTACACGCAGAGCAGTGGGAGCACCGTGATGTCCACAATATATACGGACACTACATGCACAAAGCATCTAGTGATGGACAAGTTCTCCGATCTCAGAATACTGCTCGCCCCTTCGTGCTGTCCCGAGCGTTCTTTGTAGGATCCCATAGGATAGGTGAGGGGTATTTATTTTATTTATCATGATGTTGAGTTTCCGAACGTGACATAATGTGACAGTGTTATGACGTCACGTGACAGTGTTATGACGTCACGTGACAGTGTTATGACGTCACGTGACAGTGTTATGACGTCACGTGACAGTGTTATGACGTCACGTGACAAAGTTTTGACGTCACGTGATGGTGTGAATGTGTGATGACGTCACGTGACAGAGTGTTGACATCACGTGACGGTATGAATGTGTGATGACGTCACGTGACGGTGTGATAACGTCACGTGATTTATCTTATACCTATTCCTACTTCAGGACCCATCTGGACGGGGGATAACTACGCCTCGTGGGAGCACCTCAAGATGTCCATCCCAATGTTACTCTCTTTAAACGTAGCGGGATACACCTTCGTGGGGGCGGATGTTGGGGGTTTCTTCGGGAGCCCAGCCACGGAGCTACTAGTTAGGTGGTACCAGGTGAGCTACATTTTCAGTATCCAGTGGGTTTCTTACTGCTGTTATTCTAGAAGGAGTGCTTAAGTTGGGAATATCTGTGCTTTTCTTTTTACTTAAATAGTATCTTTAAACAATGTCTATTATCTTAAGCATGTCCAGATCATGTACCACTTTTTTACATTTATCATTAATAAAATCAACAAATTGTTGTCTAGCTCTATAAAGAGTATATATACTTATATTATATATATAAGGGTGTATATAATATATGATATCTAAAGTATTCTCCACCAGGTTGGAGTATTACAACCCTTCCTTCGCGCTCACGCACACATTGATACCAGACGCCGGGAACCCTGGTTGTTTGGTGAGTTGCTTTTATCTTTTAACTTATATTTATATTTTTTAATTGTTTTAATTCATCTTATTATGACATTTTTTAATTTTTATTTATTGAATAAGGCATTTTCTTCCGCATGTATTTTAAAAGCTAATTAATTTGTTTGGTACTCAAGTACCCGCGAAGGATTGATACACGATTTATATTTAAGGAACAGTTTCGTTAAAGTAATATCCAATAATTTTCCTTTTAAAAATAAATTCTTGTGTTTCAGGTGAAGAAAACACAGCTTTGATAAGAGATGCACTTATCCTGCGTTATCAGCTTCTACCTTACATTTATACCCAATTTTATAAAGCCTCTGTTGATAATTCCCCTATTATGAGGTTAGTTAATGTCACGTGACAATTTGATGACGTCATTTTATTTGCCTCTTAATGGGTAATGACGTCATATTATGCTAATATACAATGTACGTATACAATGTATGTATGTTTTGAATCTCAATTGTTGAGCTTTTTCAAGTTATCAGAAGTGATGAGCAGCAATTTCATGTTTTAAGAGGTAATATAACAAGGAAGTAATGATAAGAGTAAGTTATGTAATATAACCAGTAAGTAATGATAAGAGTAAGTTATATTGCAGACCGCTATGGTACTAAGTAATGATAAGTAATGATAAGAGTAAGTTATATTGCAGACCGCTATGGTACTAAGTAATGATAAGTAATGATAAGAGTAAGTTATATTGCAGACCTTAATGGTACTAAGTAATGATAAGTAATGATAAGAGTAAGTTATATTGCAGACCGCTATGGTACTAAGTAATGATAAGAGTAAGTTATATTGCAGACCGCTATGGTACTAAGTTATGATAAGTAATGATAAGAGTAAGTTATATTGCAGACCGCTATGGTACTAAGTTATGATAAGTAATGATAAGAGTAAGTTATATTGCAGACCGCTATGGTACTAAGTAATGATAAGAGTAAGTTATATTGCAGACCGCTATGGTACTAAGTTATGATAAGTAATGATAAGAGTAAGTTATATTGCAGACCGCTATGGTACTAAGTAATGATAAGTAATGATAAGAGTAAGTTATATTGCAGACCGCTATGGTACTAAGTAATGATAAGAGTAAGTTATATTGCAGACCGCTATGGTACTAAGTTATGATAAGTAATGATAAGAGTAAGTTATATTGCAGACCGCTATGGTACTAAGTAATGATAAGTAATGATAAGAGTAAGTTATATTGCAGACCGCTATGGTACTAAGTAATGATAAGAGTAAGTTATATTGCAGACCGCTATGGTACTAAGTTATGATAAGTAATGATAAGAGTAAGTTATATTGCAGACCGCTATGGTACTAAGTAATGATAAGTAATGATAAGAGTAAGTTATATTGCAGACCGCTATGGTACTAAGTAATGATAAGAGTAAGTTATATTGCAGACCGCTATGGTACTAAGTTATGATAAGTAATGATAAGAGTAAGTTATATTGCAGACCGCTATGGTACTAAGTAATGATAAGTAATGATAAGAGTAAGTTATATTGCAGACCGCTATGGTACTAAGTAATGATAAGTAATGATAAGAGTAAGTTATATTGCAGACCTTAATGGTACTAAGTAATGATAAGTAATGATAAGAGTAAGTTATATTGCAGACCGCTATGGTACTAAGTAATGATAAGAGTAAGTTATATTGCAGACCGCTATGGTACTAAGTTATGATAAGTAATGATAAGAGTAAGTTATATTGCAGACCGCTATGGTACTAAGTTATGATAAGTAATGATAAGAGTAAGTTATATTGCAGACCGCTATGGTACTAAGTAATGATAAGAGTAAGTTATATTGCAGACCGCTATGGTACTAAGTTATGATAAGTAATGATAAGAGTAAGTTATATTGCAGACCGCTATGGTACTAAGTAATGATAAGTAATGATAAGAGTAAGTTATATTGCAGACCGCTATGGTACTAAGTAATGATAAGAGTAAGTTATATTGCAGACCGCTATGGTACTAAGTTATGATAAGTAATGATAAGAGTAAGTTATATTGCAGACCGCTATGGTACTAAGTAATGATAAGTAATGATAAGAGTAAGTTATATTGCAGACCGCTATGGTACTAAGTAATGATAAGAGTAAGTTATATTGCAGACCGCTATGGTACTAAGTTATGATAAGTAATGATAAGAGTAAGTTATATTGCAGACCGCTATGGTACTAAGTAATGATAAGTAATGATAAGAGTAAGTTATATTGCAGACCGCTATGGTACTAAGTAATGATAAGAGTAAGTTATATTGCAGACCGCTATGGTACTAAGTTATGATAAGTAATGATAAGAGTAAGTTATATTGCAGACCGCTATGGTACTAAGTAATGATAAGTAATGATAAGAGTAAGTTATATTGCAGACCGCTATGGTACTAAGTAATGATAAGTAATGATAAGAGTAAGTTATATTGCAGACCGCTATGGTACTAAGTAATGATAAGTAATGATAAGAGTAAGTTATATTGCAGACCGCTATGGTACTAAGTAATGATAAGTAATGATAAGAGTAAGTTATATTGCAGACCGCTATGGTACGACCATCCCTCCGACACCTCCCTTTACTCAAACCAAGAAGAGTTCCTGCTGGGAGACAGTCTGTTATCTTCACCTGTCCTGGAGTCCAACGAGAAGAGTCATTTGGTTACTCTCCCTGGTCCACAGGTTTCCTTAACACAAAATATAGTTCTTAACTCAAGTATTAATGTTTTTAATCACATCTGGTGAAGTTCTGATATGTTTGACTTCAAAGTCAATTTTTCTTGAGCATTTTCGTCAGATAACAGCTCAGTGAAACTCAAGTAAATATTGTGTCAGGTCTGGTACGATTATCACAGTTATACTAAATACTCTCCTGGAACTATGCACATTTCTGTTAAGCTATCCTCTACTCCACTCTTTATTAAAGGAGGTAATGTAATAATTAAATAAATGATTACGTTTATTGCACGCTTCTACATTAAAAACATATTAAAATGCATTTAAGTCATTCAAGAATTAGTATTATATGGAGATGTAAAATGTATGTACACATTTTACATCTCCATATGATACTAATAGTAATTCTTGTATACACTTCTTGTATACACTAATAGTAATTCTTGTATACACTGTTGAATTAAATAATTCTGTCCTCCGAGAGTAGCTCAAATTACATTGGGGAGCGGGGGGGTATGCAACGACCATTAATGTCAGTAGATGGAATTTTGTCAAAACTGACATTGTCATTAATGGTCATTAATGGTCATTAATGGTCATTAATGGTCATTAATGGTCATTAATGGTCATTAAATAATTGAAATTCTGAACTATCTTGGAAGCAACATGTCCAAGAAATTTACAATTATGATCACTTTGTATCACTTCTATAAAGTTTCTCACAGCCCCCAGGCCCCCTACATCGATTGCCAGAGTCTCGTTTGAGAAAACGAATTTATATTCGCCTAATAGAGGCTCGGACCTCGGTTTCGGAATGAGTGCTAAGCACCATTCTGTTATACGTTGGTAACTTGTCTTGTCTGTTTGCTTGTTTGCATTTGACTTAGTATAAATGCTTGTTTGCAGTTGACTTAGTATAAATGCTTGTTTACAGTTGACTTAGTATAAATGCTTGTTTGCAGTTGACTTAGTATACATGCTTGTTTGCAGTTTGCGTGGATTTGAATTGTATTGATTTCCTTTATTTGTGTTGATTGCTTTTGATAATTTGGATTTTCAATACCTCCTCACAGTACCTTCTATGCCATCGTAAGACGATATTTGGAAATAAAAGTCGGAGATCGAAATTTTTTGGTACCGGCTGTTTCGAGGGTTCTGTGCCATACCAACCGGGCTGCAAAAATTCTTCTAAGCCCTGTCAACGTCGAACAATTCGAAAGGGCGACTCATTAAGTGCTACCTTTGTTCCAAAAAATGCTAAACGTCCCCTTCGTTGCCTCGGTACCATCTTATCAATGAGTGTCTCTGCTTCAAAAAAGGGCAACTGTAGATCTAGACGAATTCCTGTCGCATCAATTTGTCACTATCATGATGACAGTGCTCGATTTTGGGTCGAAACTTTAAACTGCCAAAGGCAGAGTATTGAACTGTAAACGAATTGTTCTTTCTAATCCTAGGAAAAGATCAGCTTTTTTGTTGTCCGATTCAGACTGATGACGATGTATTTCATGAAGTGCTAAAGTTGAATAGTTCATCTACTGTGTAATTACTATATAATCGACTAGCATAATGATTTGGCTAAAATATAAATCTTGATATGATATAAGAACGGGAACGAAGTATTTAATTTTAATACCCGTGTTATAATTATTTTATTATTGATTGTTATTTTACTATTGATACGATCTGATACTCCTAAATTGCCCTTTGAATTATTATTATTGATAACTATAAGTCACCAACTGTTATCTGGTTTAAATACCGTGGCCGCAAAATTTGTTCTTCATTACATTCGAACTTAATAAATGTAATCCCTAACTCACTCTGGAATCCACTCAAGTGATATTCTGGAAGGTCTGCCTAACCACGGAAGATTCTATTCTAAGTTTTCTCTTTCGAACCTCTAATTGTAAATGTAAAATAATAACATATACTTGTAGTTAGTTAACTTAAGGTAGGGTCTAAGTGATGCAGGCGTCCGTCCTTTTCGCTCTAAGAAGTGCTGGAAAAAACATGACCATTAATGTCAGTAGATGAAATTTTGACAAAACTGACATTGTCATTAATGGTCATTAATGGTCATTAATGGTCATTAATGGTCATTAATGGTCATTAATGGTCGTTGCATACCCCCCCCCCCCCCGGGGAGCGTTACTGTTCACATTTACTCTGAAATACATTTTTTCTGCATGAGATTCGAACAACGTTATTTTAATGTTCCAAATCACATTTCAAAAGTCCAAAGACAATATTCAACTTTTCTGTTTAAAGTGATTTTCTGAACTATATTTCACTACTACTATTTTTATCTCAGGAAGTATATTATTAACTAAAATGAGAGTCAGACGGTCTTCCCAATTAATGGAGTCTGATCCATACACTATTATCGTGGCTCTTGATAACAAGGTGGGTTGTGACGTCATGGCACGTGTAAATGGTCACTGCACGTGTGACGTCACGTGGTTTGTGGCGTCACGTGATATTTTTCTGAATTTTCTTCTGTGAAAATCACTGATTTGGCATTAAATTTTATCTTCGCAAGCGCGTTGTTTTAATGTAATACTGCCATTTTGATGTACTATGTACATTCGTTGAGTTAAAAAGTTATAATTGATTAATTATGTCTGTAATAATTAATTAATTATATGATAACCACAGGGTGAAGCGAAGGGTGAAGCGTATGTTGACGATGGCAAATCGTTCGACTACAAAAACAACAAGTTTAGTTTTCAGAACCTCAGCTTCACGGGCAATAAACTATCGTGCCGGTCAGAGATAATATCCATTATTTTTAGTTTTTGAATATTTTATCTTTTTATATACGTATTTTAACCCGCTACGCGGTGATTATTAAATTCGAATTTTATCCCAATAGTCAATAACATGGTGTATATCAGTATATCCAGGTCACAATGACACCACGTGATATAACACGTGTTATATCACGTGTTACACCACGTGTTACACCACGTGTTATATCACGCGTTATATCACATGTTACATCACGTGTACTTTCTCCAGGTCTGGTGTAAAAGAGGCTCATTACAAGTCAGCCGGTGTGGAGAGAGTAGTTATTCTGGGAGTTGATAACTCGCTATCTGCTTCTCATAACGGTAACAAAGCTTTTTACCTTTTTTTTCTTCATTTGTTCAAATCTTTATATAATTTTCTATACATATTTTCATGGAAATTTGATTTAGTTTTAATGGAAATTAATTTGGAGCATTGTTTAATTTGGCTGATTTAGCCGATTGAATCTTCGATAAGTTCATAAGAACGTGATGATATGCTTGTTAATTATAATACATATAATTATGATATACTTACTAATCAATTATCTAATTATCCAATTGATGATTCCAATCCCCACAGGAAGTCCGATAATCTCAACTTTCAGCAAATCCTCACACTCGATTACTTTAAAGAAACCTAACCTTGTTCTGTCCGACGAGTGGGACATTGAATTTTCTTGAAAATCTTATTGTTAGCCGAAACTTAAAGGTAATGATTATATACTAATATGATGTTTGTGATTGTGATTAATATTGTGGGGGCCAGGGGGATGTTTATCATATATTTAATCTTCAGAAAGGTCAAGAAGATATTGCTTTATTAAGTAAATAAGCTATTTTGGCATCTAATGGAGCAATGATTGTTGACAATAGTTAGTTTTCTTAGTATGATTTAAATCATCGAACTATTGTGGTTATCGGCGTTTAGTTTAATAAACATATTTTTGTATTTTTAATGAGTTATTCATCGAATGGGAGTACTACAAACGTTATAGTTTTGAGAATATATATTCTCTTTTTTTTTCAATTTTATCAATGTATTGACTTACTGAAGTCTTGATTATGACTATGTCATGTTTTCAATAACCTCTTCGTGGACTGTTTTAAATGTGTTTGACTCATGTTAAAAGTGTTGCACGTGTCAACATGTTGAACTGTGTTGACCCTGTTGAATTTGTTAGCTTAGCCAACAGAGTAAGAATTATTGTTGAACTTATTTGCGGTCTAGGAAAACAGTTTATATAGCTCGAGATTGTTAAAGTAGAATTTAAGTTATTTATGATGATTTACAATATATTGGTATTTTATTGAATAATTGCTGTGTCATTACTTTTTGTGGCTAATCTTAAATTCACCACATTTTAATTAGCTGAAAACACAAGTACTAATTTTACTCGTTGAAAATCAATAAAATTTAAGACGAATTCTTTTATTATTTATCACACTGTCTATAAAATCTGACTTACAAAACAATTTCTAGAATGTGCTAGAAAGATCAAAATGACTGAAAACGAACCTTCAAGTTCAACAACCCTCCAATCAGACCTAATTGGTAAGATTAATGTCCTCTTTTACTGTTGCAATTTTATCTCCCTGAGGGTCAAAATCCACAGAATTAGATAGATACCCACTATCCTTTTATGTGTTGTTAATAATAATATCTATAAAGCGCTGAATTATCAACCGTTTGTTATATGCCAAACAATTTATCAGGTGCTCGGGTTGCAGAACTGAAAACAGACGGTAAAGATATACGTGAAAACTACATCCAAACATTTCAACCACTACCCAAACAGAATCCTGAACAACGATCTGTCTATTACCCGGTTATGGTGCCACCATTGCCGATATCTAAATTCGTCGATAAAATTGATTGGAAATCTGTCAACAAGGTCAAGAAATCAAAGCCAGAAATTAAGAAATACTGTGAAGATATTAAAGATAACCAAGATGGGTTTGAGGCTGAGGTTAAGGTTTTTAGGGTTCTTGAGAGAATGAAGCAACGTGAGGAAATCATAGTACTTCAAAGTTTGGAATACCTTCACAGTGATTACCAGATTTTCGTTGGAGACCATTCATATATAAAAGGCAAGAAAGAAGGGAAACCATGTGATCGAGACGACAATGTTAAAGAAGGGGAGTGTGACTTCGTCATAATGGGAAAAAAATATTTCGTTATTATTGAAGTCAAGAAAAACAAATCTGATCTGGGGTATGGAAAACTTCAAGCGAGTCGAACAGAAAAACTTATCCTGGGGATTGCTGAAATGTTAGGAAGTGTTATCCCTCCAGTATTCAAGGTTGTTGTTGCACCAAATGAATACAAGGAACCAGCTTATAATGACGAGAAATTCCGCCGTTGGTGGAAGAAAAACATCACAGACAAAGCTTCTGAAAAACTACAGTGTCCTGAAACATTTGAGGAGACCAAGAACATCCTTCTCGCTTTGCGGGCTAACAAGGATAATAAATGGGATAAAAGGAGATGTTCTTTGGGATGGAATATCCGAGATATTGATGAGCAGTTGAGGAATGCAATTGTCACGTGTGAGAAAAAGGGAGTGAGAAATGTTAATTCAAATCCTGGTGTAGTAGAAGCTCCTCCTTACGTTAGAGATTTTGTCGGTATCAAATATTTGACTGCTGAACAAGACAATACATTAAAATCAAAAGAAAAGTTGATGTGGATAAATGGACCGGCTGGGACTGGTAAAACAGTTATAATGTGCGGTAAGATTCTACAGTTAGCGTTATCTTATAAGAAGAACAAGATCGTGGTCATCACATTTGCTGGTGAAGGTAATAATGCTAACTTGTATGAAACTGCACTGGGTAACGCAAGGGTAAGGTATCAGACGATCACGGGTGAATTTCAAGACGGCTGGTTCACAGGAGTTGACGAGACAATAAATGCAGAAAGTAGAATTAAGGAACTCTACCAAGTTGTTATCATCAAGATAGAACCAGAATTTATCAATGCCCCGGGACATGTGGAAAAGATATCGAATCTGATGGCATCTCAAACGGACAGTAGTGTATTTATAGACGATATGCAGGTTTTCATGAACTATTTTTCTTACTTTGACGTTACGCTGCGAGATTTTATTGTTACTCTAAGAAAGTTATCTGATGAACAACACATGTGGGTAGCATGTGACATGATACAGTCTCTATGGTATCTGTATTATGGCGAACAGAATTATGGCGAACATTTAGCTGAACTGGCGTTGTTGTTGGATGAGCAGCGAGTTTATTTGTATAAAAACTTGAGGAACACCTACGACATATCAATTGTTTTAGAAATGTCCAGGGATTTACATACTGCAAAAAGCGCTGCGAGAGCGAAATTGTGCCCAAAACAGGAGTATGGACATTTCATACATGGACCATTAATTACGATACATTTTATGGAGGGACTCTGTTGCGATTCCAGTAAAATATTGATGAAAGACCTTTTGATAAATGAATTTAAGATGTTATTGAAGACAAATGATTTAGATTATACTGATATAGGAATAATATACTACGACGATTATGGTTTTATGATTGCACAGACTGCTGTAGAGACTCTGAGAACTGAAGGTTACGAAATGATACCGTGTAAGTGTTGGGATTGCTATTCAAGTGAGTGGCCTGCTGTTATTGCGGTGCTTGAATTGGAGGGAGATAAGGATCATGATCTGCGTGTTCTTTACACCGCAATATCACGAGCACGGGTTAAGTGCTCTGTTCTGATACTACACCACCCGTTATCATCAGATGAAGATAGTTTAGATAGTACAGATAGTGAATATTATAATGAAGCAGATGATAACATTTACCGTTTATTAGAGAAATTGGAGCCTGTAGCTCGCTTGATAGAACATTATTAACTTTAGTTTTGTAGTAGATATGTTTGAAGTTACTTACTAATGTTACTGGGTTTTACGTATTATATTGACTGATATTGTATTGTTTAAATGATCATCACATAATAACTTTCTCATATAAATTATACAATGTTCTTGAGTCGAAAGTATCGATAGTACTTTAGTAGAATTACATACTGTTTCTACAATACAGGGCTTGCAAAGCAACTGTAGGAATACGAAATATTTGTAAGCAGTTTGCTTAACATGCCTAGTTTTGTAGTCCTCAGTTTAGGTTTTATTTCACATTTTAATATTTAATTCATCGTTTTTTTGCCACTTTTATTTTAATGTTATCTCACGTTTCTATTTCATATTCGTACATTTACTTTCTTATCTTTAGTTCGTTCGGCCGTTTGTTTATTTATCACATTTTTACGAGCCCTATTTTAGAGATAAGGGAGAGATTTTGGGAAATAGACACTTCTGTAAATGTAACCGGGCATTCGTCGGGTTTTGAGTTATAAAGTTTTCGACCGTTATACGAGAGCGTTTTATTTGGTACAGTACACTAAATTTAAGTCTTGTTTAAAATACAGACTCCGGCAGCCTTCCACCTTTCTTGTTTTTAAACAGACTGAGTCACCACATCGCAGCTCACCGGAGTTCACTGTCAGATCTACGTGCAGCCACTACCGCGAGTTGCTGAGTCCTCATCTCCTCGTTTACCGGGAGTTTAAATATTAGGTTTGTATCTTGTTTCAGACAGGTGCATCCGTAGCTCGTTTTATACAGTTGCGTTTATTTGACTCCTCGTTCATCGGGAGCAGTACATTTTAGCTTTTTAGTGTTAATTCCTCGTTCATCGGGAGTTGTCACTATATTACCAGCACATATCTCGTTTAAAACAGATATATCGTTCCTTACTCCTCGTTTATCGGGAGCAGTTTATTAGGTTTTAGACCTTGTTTAATACAGGCTCAGTTAGTTCTAGTCGCCCTATCCTTTGACCAGGGAGCGCCCCGTTAAGGCCAGTCAAGCCGGTTGCCGTGTAATAGCCGTTTCGTTTTTACACCATCGTTCACTTATTACATAATATGTGAACAACCCCTTATTCATTGAGAAATTAGACGCAAACTTACATGCTGTGCAGTCAGGTTTCGAACTGACTGAACCAAATTAAAACATGTCCATCATTTACTCAATAAATATTTTGAAGTGCTGTTAATACTAGTATATTGTCTTAAGTAAACATATATTGATCATGTATTATAGATCATGCGATTTATAATTTTTCCGAAATAACATGCATCTTTAGTGCAATTTTGTAATACTTTATAAAATGTTTAGAGATATTTGTCTCTAATTCTACATGTTCTTCTATCTGTATGTTTTCAGCTCCTTTTTGTCACTATCACTCTGTTAAAAAATAAAGCTGTAAACAAACTGTCAAAACCCAAAAATTGAGTAGGATAGACCTTGTTAATATTTAATGTCTACTTCCTCCATACAAAAATGGAGTTGGGGGGGGGGGGCTGACCATTTAAGTATAATTAAGTATATCCCGGCCCTAAATCGGTAAAGACCTACATTTTAATGTACTTTAATATGGTCAGCCAGCCCCCCCCCCCCCCTCAATAAATGGTATGTGCTAAAATTGCCGTTCCCATATGAAACCAAGAATGAAAGCATTCGCTTTCCCACATAAATATTGCAAATATTGTGTTATGGCAGCTAAATTAATCATTAGTTAACATTTATAAATAATTTTAGTAAAATTTAACCTGAATGGCACTCCCAGGTAGCAGTTAAGTATTTGTAAATTCCACCACAAGGATCTCCAAATATACTGTTTAGTGCTTCTACTGCACAGGAATTCTTTCCGTCACATCGTTCCTTCATCGCCTGAAGAGAGGAAATTGTTTGAGATCTACTGTCAGTGTCAACAATGTTGACTCAACATGATGAATAGCAATTTTGTGGTTAAAAATTATTATTGACACAGTTTTTCCAACACCATTACAATGAACATAAACGTAATACAATAAATAAGTTTGAACATATATATATTGTTAACAAGTTCAGACCTGAAGTGAAGTTTCTGAGATACAGTCTCCACCATAAGAACGTCCACAAGTGTTCTCATTGGAGTAAACACCATAGGCCGCATGCTTGATATTTATCATCTCCTCGCCACAGTTGATTGATATAGGTATTCCGCTATGTTCACATGCTTCAGCTGAGTTTTCTGATCGTGTTTTATTAAGATGAATATTATTTGAAAACTTTCCGACGACATGGCTGTATTCTTTATTTTCAGTTACCAGGATAAAATTGCAAATAGTTTAATATGGCAGTTAAATTAATCATTAGTTAACATTTTATAAAGTTATAAAATATAAAATTTAACCTGAATGGCACTCCCAGGTAGCAGTTAAGTATTTGTAAATTCCACCACAAGGATCTCCAAATATACTGTTTAGTGCTTCTACTGCACAGGAATTCTTTCCATCACATCGTTCCTTCATCGCCTGAAGAGAGGAAATTGTTTGAGATCTACTGTCAGTGTCAACGATGTTGACTCAACATGATCAATAGCAATTTCGTGGTTAAGGATTATTATTAACTCAGTTTTTCCAACACCATTACAATGAACATACACGTAACACAATAAATAAATTTGAACATATATCTATTGTTACAAGTTCAGACCTGAAGTGAAGTTTCTGAGATACAGTCTCCACCATAAGAAAGTCCACAAGTGTTCTCATTGGAGTAAACACCATAGGCCGCATGCTTGATATTTATCATCTCCTCGCCACAGTTTATTGATATAGGTATTCCGCTATGTTCGCATGCTTCAGCTGAGTTTTCTGATCGTGTTTTATTAAGATGAATATTATTTGAAAACTTTCCGACGACATGGCTGTATTCTTTATTTTCAGTTACCAGGATAAAATTGCAAATAGTTTAATATGACAGTTAAATTAATCATTAGTTAACATTTTATAAATAATATAAAATTTAACCTGAATGGCACTCCCAGGTAGCAGTTAAGTATTTGTAAATTCCACCACAAGGATCTCCAAATATACTGTTTAGTGCTTCTACTGCACAGGAATTCTTTCCATCACATCGCTCCTTCATCGCCTGAAGAGAGGAAATTATTTCAGATCTACTGTCAGTGTCAACAATCTTGACTCAACATGATGAATAGCAATTTTGTATACAATGAATGAACATACACGTAATACAATAAATAATTTTGAACATATATCTATTGTTATTTGTTACAAGTTCAGACCTGAAGTGAAGTTTCTGAGATACAGTCTCCACCATAAGAAAGTCCACAAGTGTTCTCATTGGAGTAAACACCATAGGCCGCATGCTTGATATTTATCATCTCCTCGCCACAGTTTATTGATATAGGTATTCCGCTATGTTCGCATGCTTCAGCTGAGTTTTCTGATCGTGTTTTATTAAGATGAATATTATTTGAAAACTTTCCGACGACATGGCTGTATTCTTTATTTTCAGTTACCAGGATAAAATTGCAAATAGTTTAATATGACAGTTAAATTAATCATCTGCAGTTAACATTTTATAAATGATAAAAATTTAACCTGAATGGCACTCCCAGGTAGCAGTTAAGTATTTGTAAATTCCACCACAAGGATCTCCAAATATACTGTTTAGTGCTTCTACTGCACAGGAATTCTTTCCATCACATCGTTCCTTCATCGCCTGAAGAGAGGTACACGTAATACAATAAATAATTTTGAACATATATCTATTGTTATTTGTTACAAGTTCAGACCTGAAGTGAAGTTTCTGAGATACAGTCTCCACCATAAGAAAGTCCACAAGTGTTCTCATTGGAGTAAACACCATAGGCCGCATGCTTGATATTTATCATCTCCTCGCCACAGTTTATTGATATAGGTATTCCGCTATGTTCGCATGCTTCAGCTGAGTTTTCTGATCGTGTTTTATTAAGATGAATATTATTTGAAAACTTTCCGACGACATGGCTGTATTCTTTATTTTCAGTTACCAGGATAAAATTGCAAATAGTTTAATATGACAGTTAAATTAATCATCTGCAGTTAACATTTTATAAATGATAAAAAATTTAACCTGAATGGCACTCCCAGGTAGCAGTTAAGTATTTGTAAATTCCACCACAAGGATCTCCAAATATACTGTTTAGTGCTTCTACTGCACAGGAATTCTTTCCATCACATCGTTCCTTCATCGCCTGAAGAGAGGAAATTATTTCAGATCTACTGTCAGTGTCAACAATCTTGACTCAACATGATGAATAGCAATTTTGTATACAATGAATGAACATACACGTAATACAATAAATAATTTTGAACATATATCTATTGTTATTTGTTACAAGTTCAGACCTGAAGTGAAGTTTCTGAGATACAGTCTCCACCATAAGAAAGTCCACAAGTGTTGTCATTGGAGTATACACCATAGGCTGCATGCTTGATATTTATCATCTCCTCGCCACAGTTTATTGATATAGGTATTCCGCTATGTTCGCATGCTTCAGCTGTACCGGACCCTAAATGAAATAGTTTTAATCTGAGGGATTATCGATAAAAATTATATCATATAAAATAAATTGTGGACATTTTGAACGATTTATAAGAGCAAAACTGTTCTTATGTTGACAGTGTCTGATAATTTGAGCAGGAACTCTCATGGCCTGTTTCTTAAGTGCTAAAAAGTTAACATAATTAACTGTAAAAACTACAATTAACTGTAAAAGGTTTAACCTGCACAAGCTTGCTCGTTACAACTCTGTGTTTCTTCAGTATCTCCCTCACATTCCGCTCCCCCATTGGCTGGGAGGGGACTGTCGCAGTTCCTAGTTCTTGTTTGTGTTCCTCCTCCACATTCCACTGAGCATGTCGACCAATCTCCATAATCTCCCCAACCACCGTCTACTTTCAATTCTGGATTTTTAAAAAAAGATTAATGAATTAAAATCAGACTTAGTTTTCTGACCGTGTCTCATTAAGCTCATAATAATATGTGAAAATATTTCGATGACATTGCTGTATTCATTATTTTCAGTTACCAAGATGATATTGCGAATAGTTTAATATGGCAGTTAAATTAATCATCTGCAGTTAACATTTTATAAATAATATAAAATTTAACCTGAATGGCACTCCCAGGTAGCAGTTAAGTATTTGTAAATTCCACCACAAGGATCTCCAAATATACTGTTTAGTGCTTCTACTGCACAGGAATTCTTTCCGTCACATCGTTCCTTCATCGCCTGAAGAGAGGAAATTGTTTGAGATCTACTGTCAGTGTCAACAATGTTGACTCAACATGATGAATAGCAATTTTGTGGTCAAGGATTATTATTAACTCAGTTTTTCTAACACCATTACAATGAACATACACGTTACACAATAAATGAGTTTGAACATATATCTATTGTAAACTAGTTCAGACCTGAAGTGAAGTTTCTGAGATGCAGTCTCCACCATAAGAAAGTCCACAAGTGTTCTCATTGGAGTAAACACCATAGGCTGCATGCTTGATATTTATCATCTCCTTGCCACAGTTGATTGATATAGGTATTCCGCTATGTTCGCATGCTTCAGCTGTACCGGACCCTAGATGAAATAGTTTTAATCTAAGGGATTGTCGATAAAAATTATATCATAAAATGAATCGTGGACATTTTGAACGATTTATAAGAGCAAAACTGTTTTTATGGTGGCAGTGTCTGATAATTCGAGCAGGAGCTCACATGGCCTGTTTCTTTAGTGCTAAATAGTTAACATAATTAACTGTAGAAACTACAATTAATTAAACTGTAAAAGGTTTAACCTGCACAAGCTTGCTCGTTACAACTCTGTATTTCTTCAGTATCTCCCTCACATTCCGCTCCCCCATTGGCTGGAAGGGGACTGTCGCAGTTCCTAGTTCTTGTTTGTGTTCCTCCTCCACATTCCACTGAACATGTCGACCAATCTCCATAATCTCCCCAGCCTCCGTCTACTTTCAATCCTGGATTTTAGAAAGGATTAGTGAATTAAAATCAGACTTAGTTTTCTGACCGTGTCTCATTAAGCTTAATATGGCAGTTAAATTAATCATCTGCAGTTAACATTTTATAAATGATATAAAATTTAACCTGAATGGCACTCCCAGGTAGCAGTTAAGTATTTGTAAATTCCACCACAAGGATCTCCAAATATACTGTTTAGTGCTTCTACTGCACAGGAATTCTTTCCATCACATCGTTCCTTCATCGCCTGAAGAGAGGAAATTGTTTGAGATCTACTGTCAGTGTTAACAATGTTGACTCAACATGATGAATAGCAATTTTGTGGTTAAAGATTATTATTGACTCAGTTTTTCTAACACCATTACAATGAATTCATACACGTAATACAATAAACAAGTTTGCACATATATATATTGTTAACAAGTTCAGACCTGAAGTGAAGTTTCTGAGATACAGTCTCCACCATAAGAAAGTCCACAAGTGTTCTCATTGGAGTAAACACCATAGGCCGCATGCTTGATATTTATCATCTCCTCGCCACAGTTGATTGATATAGGTATTCCGCTATGTTCGCATGCTTCAGCTGTACCGGACCCTAGATGAAATAGTTTTAATCTAAGGGATTGTCGATAAAAATTATATCATAAAATGAATCGTGGACATTTTGAACGATTTATAAGAGCAAAACTGTTTTTATGGTGGCAGTGTCTGATAATTTGAGCAGGAGCTCACATGGCCTGTTTCTTTAGTGCTAAATAGTTAACATAATTAACTGTAGAAACTACAATTAATTAAACTGTAAAAGGTTTAACCTGCACAAGCTTGCTCGTTACAACTCTGTATTTCTTCAGTATCTCCCTCACATTCCGCTCCCCCATTGGCTGGAAGGGGACTGTCGCAGTTCCTAGTTCTTGTTTGTGTTCCTCCTCCACATTCCACTGAACATGTCGACCAATCTCCATAATCTCCCCAGCCTCCGTCTACTTTCAATCCTGGATTTTAGAAAGGATTAGTGAATTAAAATCAGACTTAGTTTTCTGACCGTGTCTCATTAAGCTCATAATTTATAATAATTTGTGAAAATATTTCGACGACATGGCTGTATTCTTTATTTTCAGTTACCAAGATGATATTGCGAATAGTTTAATATGGCAGTTAAATTAATCGTCACCTAACATTTTATAAATAATTTAAATTTAACCTGAATGGCACTCCCAGGTAGCAGTTAAGTATTTGTAAATTCCACCACAAGGATCTCCAAATATACTGTTAAGTGCTTCTACTGCACAGGAATTCTTTCCATCACATCGCTCCTTCATCGCCTGAAGAGAGGAAATTGTTTGAGATCTACTGTCAGTGTCAACAATGTTGACTAAACTTGATGAATAGCAATTTTATGGTCAAGGATTACAATTTACATAGTTTTTCCAACACCATTACAATGAACATACACGACACCCGAATACCATAAAACAATAAATAAGTTTGAACATATATCTATTGTAAACGAGTTCAGACCTGAAGTGAAGTTTCTGAGATACAGTCTCCACCATAAGAACGTCCACAAGTGTTCTCATTGGAGTAAACACCATAGGCCGCATGCTTGATATTTATCATCTCCTCGCCACAGTTGATTGATATAGGTATTCCGCTATGTTCGCATGCTTCAGCTGTACCGGACCCTAGATGAAATAGTTTCAATCTAAGGGATTATTGATAAAAATTATATCATATAAAATAAATCGTGGACATTTTGAACGATTTTATATAAGAGCAAAACTGTTCTTATGTTGGCAGTGTCTGATAATTCGATCAGGAGCTCACATGGCCTGTTTCTTTAGTGCTAAATAGTTAACATAATTAACTGTAAAAACTACAATTAATTTAAACTGTAAAAAAGGTTTAACCTGCACAAGCTTGCTCGTTACAACTTTGTGTTTCTTCAGTGTCTCCCTCACATTCCGCTCCCCCATTGGCTGGAAGGGGACTGTCGCAGTTCCTAGTTCTTGTTTGTGTTCCTCCTCCACATTCCAATGAGCATGTCGACCAATCTCCATAATCTCCCCAACCACCGTCTACTTTCAATTCTGGATTTAAGAAAGGATTAGAATTAAAATCAGACTTAGTTTTCTGACCGTGTCTCATTAAGCTCATAATAACATGTGAAAACATTTCGACGACATGGCTGTATTCTTTATTTTCAGTTACCAAGATGATATTGCAAATAGTTTAATATGGCAGTTAAATTAATCATCAGTTAAGGCCACAGGGGGGGGGGGGTCCGAGGTCGAAAAAACGTTTTTTGCCAGTTGGCAGACCACGTACTATCTGACGCTTGCACACCACCCTTAGCCCCCCAGAGCGCCTAGTTTGTCGTAAAATTGAGGTTAACTATTGCCTTTTTAATCAGTTAACCTCACAAATAACCAGTTCTTAACATTTTGTTGCTCTCATCACAAGTTAAACTTATCAATGGGTATCAATTAGCCATCCAATGTGAACAGAACTATTATATGTCCTTTATTTGTTGGAAAATTGAGGTTAACATATTTTCTCAGAATCAGTCTTTTGACTGTTGACTCTCCTGAACAATTTATTTACCACCTCAAAAACCTATCTTCTCCTAGAGCTTTTATCCATTTCACCTCAAATTTGGAATTTATGTTCCTGACATAAATTTAAAAGTTTGTTTTGTAACGATTGTTGTAATTTTGCTCCTAACTCGTTTTATGAGGTTAACCATTTTAAATTTTGTAAATTTTGTAACCCGCACTCATGGTTAATCTCAGCTTTGGAGCAAGATATCATAAATCGTTACATAACAAAAACTCAAAATACCTTGAAGAACATTGTTGCCAAGTTACAAGGTTCTAAGTCATAAACTGAAAAAGAAGATAGATTTTGAACACAATTTTATTTAAAGTTTTTATTTACAATAGAATTACAGGTAAACCTCAAAATTCAACGCGCGATATCTTCAAATAGGAAACTTTGTTTTCGGTAAGGACAAAAGCATTTGAAAATTTAGATCGAGCTCTACAACATATCTCAAAATCTCAAAATTGACCTCGGACCCCCCCCCCCCCCCCCCCCCCCTAGCTGTGGCCTTAACATTTTATAAATAATATAAAATTTAACCTGAATGGCACTCCCAGGTAGCAGTTAAGTATTTGTAAATTCCACCACAAGGATCTCCAAATATACTGTTTAGTGCTTCTACTGCACAGGAATTCTTTCCATCACATCGTTCCTTCATCGCCTGAAGAGAGGAAATTGTTTCAGATCTACTGTCAGTGTTAACAATGTTGACTCAACATGATGAATAGCAATTTTGTGGTCAAGGATTATTATTAACTCAGTTTTTCCAACACCATTACAATGAACATACACGTTACACAATAAATGAGTTTGAACATATATCTATTGTAAACTAGTTCAGACCTGAAGTGAAGTTTCTGAGATGCAGTCTCCACCATAAGAAAGTCCACAAGTGTTCTCATTGGAGTAAACACCATAGGCTGCATGCTTGATATTTATCATCTCCTTGCCACAGTTGATTGATATAGGTATTCCGCTATGTTCGCATGCTTCAGCTGTACCGGACCCTAGATGAAATAGTTTTAATCTAAGGGATTGTCGATAAAAATTATATCATAAAATGAATCGTGGACATTTTGAACGATTTATAAGAGCAAAACTGTTTTTATGGTGGCAGTGTCTGATAATTCGAGCAGGAGCTCACATGGCCTGTTTCTTTAGTGCTAAATAGTTAACATAATTAACTGTAAAAACTACAATAAAATTTAACTGTAAAAGGTTTAACCTGCACAAGCTTGCTCGTTACAACTTTGTGTTTCTTCAGTATCTCCCTCACATTCCACTCCCCCATTGGCTGGAAGGGGACTGTCGCAGTTCCTAGTTCTTGTTTGTGTTCCTCCTCCACATTCCACTGAACATGTCGGCCAATCTCCATAATCTCCCCAACCTCCGTCTACTTTCAATCCTGGATTTTAGAAAGGATTAGTGAATTAAAATCAGACTTATTTTTCTGACCGTGTCTCATCAAGCTTAATATGGCAGTTAAATTAATCATCTGCAGTTAACGTTTTATAAATGATATAAAATTTAACCTGAATGGCACTCCCAGGTAGCAGTTAAGTATTTGTAAATTCCACCACAAGGATCTCCAAATATACTGTTTAGTGCTTCTACTGCACAGGAATTCTTTCCATCACATCGTTCCTTCATCGCCTGAAGAGGGGAAATTGTTTGAGATCTACTGTCAGTGTCAACAATCTTGACTCATCATGATGAATAGCAATTTTGTGGTCAAGGATTATTATTAACTCAGTTTTTTCAACACCATTACAATGAACATACACGTAACACAATAAATAGGTTTGAACATATATCTATTGTAAACTAGTTCAGACCTGAAGTGAAGTTTCTGAGATGCAGTCTCCACCATAAGAAAGTCCACAAGTGTTCTCATTGGAGTAAACACCATAGGCCGCATGCTTGATATTTATCATCTCCTCGCCACAGTTGATTGATATAGGTATTCCGCTATGTTCGCATGCTTCAGCTGTACCGGACCCTAGATGAAATAGTTTCAATCTAAGGGATTATTGATAAAAATTATATCATATAAAATAAATCGTGGACATTTTCAGCGATTTATGAGAGCAAAACTGTTCTTTTGATGGCAGTGTCTGATAATTTGAGCAGGAGCTCACATGGCCTGTTTCTTTAGTGCTAAATAGTTAACATAATTAACTGTAAAAACTACAATTAACTGTAAAAGGTTTAACCTGCACAAGCTTGCTCGTTACAACTCTGTGTTTCTTCAGTATCTCCCTCACATTCCGCTCCCCCATTGGCTGGAAGGGGACTGTCGCAGTTCCTAGTTCTTGTTTGTGTTCCTCCTCCACATTCCACTGAACATGTCGACCAATCTCCATAATCTCCCCAGCCTCCGTCTACTTTCAATCCTGGATTTTAGAAAGGATTAGTGAATTAAAATCAGACTTAGTTTTCTGACCGTGTCTCATTAAGCTAATAATAATATGTCAAAACATTTCGACGACATGGCTGTATTCTTTATTTTCAGTTACCAGGATGATATTGCAAATAGTTTAATATGGCAGTTAAATTAATCATCACTTAACATTTTATAAATAATTTAAAATTTAACCTGAATGGCACTCCCAGGTAGCAGTTAAGTATTTGTAAATTCCACCACAAGGATCTCCAAATATACTGTTTAGTGCTTCTACTGCACAGGAATTCTTTCCATCACATCGTTCCTTCATCGCCTGAAGAGAGGAAATTGTTTGAGATCTACTGTCAGTGTCAACAATGTTGACTCAACATGATGAATAGCAATTTTGTGGTCAAGGATTATTATAACTCAGTTTTTCCAACACCATTACAATGAACATACACGTAACACAATAAATAAGTTTGAACATATATCTATTGTAAACAAGTTCAGACCTGAAGTGAAGTTTCTGAGATGCAGTCTCCACCATAAGAAAGTCCACAAGTGTTCTCATTGGAGTAAACACCATAGGCTGCATGCTTGATATTTATCATCTCCTCCCCACAGTTGATTGATATAGGTATTCCGCTATGTTCGCATGCTTCAGCTGAGTTTTCTGATCGTGTTTTATTAAGATGAATATTATTTGAAAACTTTCCGAAGACATGGCTGTATTTTTTATTTTCAGTTACCAGGATGATATTGCAAATAGTTTAATATGGCAGTTAAATTTATCATTAGTTAACATTTTATAAATAATATAAAATTAAACCTGAATGGCACTCCCAGGTAGCAGTTAAGTATTTGTAAATTCCACCACAAGGATCTCCAAATATACTGTTTAGTGCTTCTACTGCACAGGAATTCTTTCCATCACATCGTTCCTTCATCGCCTGAAGAGGGGAAATTGTTTGAGATCTACTGTCAGTGTCAACAATCTTGACTCATCATGATGAATAGCAATTTTGTGGTCAAGGATTATTATTAACTCAGTTTTTTCAACACCATTACAATGAACATACACGTAACACAATAAATAAGTTTGAACATATATCTATTGTAAACAAGTTCAGACCTGAAGTGAAGTTTCTGAGATGCAGTCTCCACCATAAGAAAGTCCACAAGTGTTCTCATTGGAGTAAACACCATAGGCCGCATGCTTGATATTTATCATCTCCTCGCCACAGTTGATTGCTATAGGTATTCCGCTATGTTCGCATGCTTCAGCTGTACCGGACCCTAGATGAAATAGTTTTAATCTAAGGGATTGTCGATAAAAATTATATCATCAATCATAAAATAAATCGTGGACATTTTGAACGATTTATAAGAGCAAAACTGTTTTTATGGTGGTAGAGTCTGATAATTCAAGCAGGAGCTCACATGGCCTGTTTCTTAAGTGCTAAATAGTTAACATAATTAACTGTAGAAACTACAATTAATTTAACTGTAAAAGGTTTAACCTGCACAAGCTTGCTCGTTACAACTCTGTATCTCTTCAATGTCTCCCTCACATTCCGCTCCCCCATTTGCTGGAAGGGGACTGTCGCAGTTCCTAGTTCTTGTTTGTGTTCCTCCTCCACATTCCACTGAGCATGTCGACCAATCTCTATAATCTCCCCAACCACCGTCTACTTTCAATCCTGGATTTTAGAAAGGATTAGTGAATTAAAATCAAACCTAGTTTTCTGACCGTGTCTCATTAAATCTAATAAAATACGTCAAAACATTTCGACGACATGTGACATGGCCGTATTCTTTATTTTCAGTTACCAGGATGATATTGCAAATAGTTTAATATGGCAGTTAAATTAATCGTCATTTAACATTTTATAAATAATTTTATTAAAATTTAACCTGAATGGCACTCCCAGGTAGCAGTTAAGTATTTGTAAATTCCACCACAAGGATCTCCAAATATACTGTTTAGTGCTTCTACTGCACAGGAATTCTTTCCATCACATCGTTCCTTCATCGCCTGAAGAGGGGAAATTGTTTGAGATCTACTGTCAGTGTCAACAATCTTGACTCAACATGATGAATAGCAATTTTGTGGTCAAGGATTATTATTAACTCAGTTTTTTCAACACCATTACAATGAACATACACGTAACACAATAAATAAGTTTGAACATATATCTATTGTAAACAAGTTCAGACCTGAAGTGAAGTTTCTGAGATGCAGTCTCCACCATAAGAAAGTCCACAAGTGTTCTCATTGGAGTAAACACCATAGGCCGCATGCTTGATATTTATCATCTCCTCGCCACAGTTGATTGCTATAGGTATTCCGCTATGTTCGCATGCTTCAGCTGTACCGGACCCTAGATGAAATAGTTTTAATCTAAGGGATTGTCGATAAAAATTATATCATATAAAATAAATCTTGGACATTTTGAACGATTTATAAGAGCAAAACTGTTTTTATGGTGGCAGTGTCTGATAATTCGAGCAGGAGCTCACATGGTATGTTTCTTTAGTGCTAAATAGTTAACATAATTAACTGTAGAAACTACAATTAATTAAACTGTAAAAGGTTTAACCTGCACAAGCTTGCTCGTTACAACTCTGTATCTCTTCAATGTCTCCCTCACATTCCGCTCCCCCATTTGCTGGAAGGGGACTGTCGCAGTTCCTAGTTCTTGTTTGTGTTCCTCCTCCACATTCCACTGAGCATGTCGACCAATCTCTATAATCTCCCCAGCCTCCGTCTACTTTCAATCCTGGATTTTAGAAAGGATTAGTGAATTAAAATCAAACCTAGTTTTCTGACCGTGTCTCATTAAATCTAATAAAATACGTCAAAACATTTCGACGACATGTGACATGGCTGTATTCTTTATTTTCAGTTACCAGGATGAAATTGCGAATAGTTTAATATGGCAGTTAAATTAATCATTAGTTAACATTTTATAAATAATTTTATTAAAATTTAACCTGAATGGCACTCCCAGGAAGCAGTTAAGTATTTGTAAATTCCACCACAATATAGAAAACGGAGTTCTCTTAGTGTTTAGTGTGTGCTAGTCAAACTCTAGTCACGAAGCACGAACGGCAGGGCGTACCGTAAGGTAGAAATGAAACGAGTATATTAAAAAGGATAATTAATTAAAAGGAAAAGTAATACAAAGTGAACGTCAACAGATAAAAACTTCCAAGTGTTCGCTCTAATCGATTAACGTGATTATAGATCACACGACGTGTCAAATCACAACTGGTAGTGCTCAGTAAAACTGGCTACCGTTAATTCGAATCCCTTAAAGTTATTAAGAGGCAACTAAGAAGTGAGCTCTCCACATCCGGCTCTCCGGGTATACTCTCAAAACTTCGTCACGCCATACTGCGTGACGGCACAACGCATCTGCTTGTACCACGTGACACGCCGTCTCGCCAATGAGCACTCCACTAGCAGTCACCCTGTGTCCGCGAGGACCAACCACAGGTCTGGCTGTTAGTCAGGTGCAAAGTGAGCGGACGGCTCGTTACAGACAGTTAGTCTGACAGTAGTTCTGCCAGCCAACCGACTTACACTCAAAATGTGTAACTCCCAAATACGAACATATAAAAACATTGGTTAATATATACCCGGAAACACATACTAAATTCTACGTCCCGTAAACGTTATACTAAAACTAAGATATCCTAAAAGATATCTCTAAATACCATATTACAACATCTCTGGTCCTCCGGGGCGTGGGTTCGGATCCCACCGTGGCCTCCAGATATAGAAAACGGAGTTCTCTTAGTGTTTAGTGTGTGCTAGTCAAGCTCTAGTCACGAAGCACGAACGGCAGGGCGTACCGTAAGGTAGAAATGAAACGAGTATATTAAAAAGGATAATTAATTAAAAGGAAAAGTAATACAACGAACGGCAGGGCGTACCGTAAGGTAGAAATGAAACGAGTATATTAAAAAGGATAATTAATTAAAAGGAAAAGTAATACAAAGTGAACGTCAACAGATAAAAACTTCCAAGTGTTCGCTCTAATCGATTAACGTGATTATAGATCACACGACGTGTCAAATCACAACTGGTAGTGCTCAGTAAAACTGGCTACCGTTAATTCGAATCCCTTAAAGTTATTAAGAGGCAACTAAGAAGTGAGCTCTCCACATCCGGCTCTCCGGGTATACTCTCAAAACTTCGTCACGCCATACTGCGTGACGGCACAACGCATCTGCTTGTACCACGTGACACGCCGTCTCGCCAATGAGCACTCCACTAGCAGTCACCCTGTGTCCGCGAGGACCAACCACAGGTCTGGCTGTTAGTCAGGTGCAAAGTGAGCGGACGGCTCGTTACAGACAGTTAGTCTGACAGTAGTTCTGCCAGCCAACCGACTTACACTCAAAATGTGTAACTCCCAAATACGAACATATAAAAACATTGGTTAATATATACCCGGAAACACATACTAAATTCTACGTCCCGTAAACGTTATACTAAAACTAAGATATCCTAAAAGATATCTCTAAATACCATATTACAACAACAAGGATCTCCAAATATACTGTTTAGTGCTTCTACTGCACAGGAATTCTTTCCATCACATCGTTCCTTCATCGCCTGAAGAGAGGAAATTGTTTGAGATCTACTGTCAGTGTTAACAATCTTGACTCAACATGATGAATAGCAATTTTGTGGTCAAGGATTATAATTTACATAGTTTTTCCAACACCATTAAAATGAACATACACGAAACACAGTAAATAAGTTTAAACATATATCTATTGTTTACAAGTTCAGACCTGAAGTGAAGTTTCTGAGATACAGTCTCCACCATAAGAAAGTCCACAAGTGTTCTCATTGGAGTAAACACCATAGGCCGCATGCTTGATATTTATCATCTCCTCGCCACAGTTGATTGATATAGGTATTCCGCTATGTTCGCATGCTTCAGCTGTACCGGACCCTAGATGAAATAGTTTCAATCTAAGGGATTATTGATAAAAATTATATCATATAAAATAAATCGTGGACATTTTCAGCGATTTATAAGAGCAAAACTGTTCTTATGTTGGCAGTGTCTGATAATTTGAGCAGGAACTCTCATGGCCTGTTTCTTTAGTGCTAAATAGTTAACATAATTAACTGTAAAAACTACAATTAATTAAACTGTAAAAGGTTTAACCTGCACAAGCTTGCTCGTTACAACTCTGTATTTCTTCAGTATCTCCCTCACATTCCGCTCCCCCATTAGCTGGAAGGGGACTGTCGCAGTTCCTAGTTCTTTTTTGTGTTCCTCCTCCACATTCCACTGAACATGTCGACCAATCTCCATAATCTCCCCAACCACCGTCTACTTTCAATCCTGGATTTTAGAAAGGATTAGTGAATTAAAATCAAACCTAGTTTTCTGACCGTGTCTCATTAAGCTTAATATGGCAGTTAAATTAATCATCTGCAGTTAACATTTTATAAATGATAAAAAATTTAACCTGAATGGCACTCCCAGGTAGCAGTTAAGTATTTGTAAATTCCACCACAAGGATCTCCAAATATACTGTTTAGTGCTTCTACTGCACAGAAATTCTTTCCATCACATCGTTCCTTCATCGCCTGAAGAGAGGAAATTGTTTGAGATCTACTGTCAGTGTCAGTGTCAACAATGTTGACTCAACTTGATGAATAGCAATTTTGTGGTTAAAGATTATTATTAACTCAGTTTTTCCAACACCATTACAAATACAATGAACATACACCTAATACAATAAATAATTTTGAACATATATCTATTGTTACAAGTTCAGACCTGAAGTGAAGTTTCTGAGATACAGTCTCCACCATAAGAAAGTCCACAAGTGTTCTCATTGGAGTAAACACCATAGGCCGCATGCTTGATATTTATCATCTCCTCGCCACAGTTGATTGATATAGGTATTCCGCTATGTTCGCATGCTTCAGCTGTACCGGACCCTAAATGAAATAGTTTTAATCTGAGGGATTATCGATAAAAATTATATCATATAAAATAAATCTTGGACATTTTCAACGATTTATAAGAGCAAAACTGTTCTTATGATGGCAGTGTCTGATAATTTGAGCAGGAACTCTCATGGTTTGTTTCTTTAGTGCTAAAACGTTAACATAATTAACTGTAAAAACTACATTTAACTGTAAAAGGTTTAACCTGCACAAGCTTGCTCGTTACAACTCTGTTTATCTTCAGTATCTCCCTCACATTCCACTCCCCCATTGGCTGGAAGGGGACTGTTGCAGTTCCTAGTTCTTGTTTGTGTTCCTCCTCCACATTCCACTGAACATGTCGACCAATCTCCATAATCTCCCCAACCACCGTCTACTTTCAATCCTGGATTTTAGAACGGATTGGTGAATTAAAATCAGACTAAGTTTAGTTTTCTGACCGCGTCTCATTAATAAGCTCATAATAATATGTGAAAACATTTCGACGAAATATGGCTGTATTCTTTATTTTCAGTTACCAGGATGATATTGCAAATAGTTTAATATGGCAGTTAAATTAATCGTCATTTAACATTTCATAAATAATTTACAATTTAACCTGAATGGCACTCCCAGGTAGCAGTTAAGTATTTGTAAATTCCACCACAAGGATCTCCAAATATACTGTTTAGTGCTTCTACTGCACAGGAATTCTTTCCATCACATCGTTCTTTCATCGCCTGAAGAGAGGAAATTGTTTGAGATCTACTGTCAGTGTCAACAATGTTGACTCAACTTGATGAATAGCAATTTTGTGGTCAAGGATTATAATTTACATAGTTTTTCCAACACCATTAAAATGAACATACACGAAACACAGTAAATAAGTTTGAACATATATCTATTATAAACTAGTTCAGACCTGAAGTGAAGTTTCTGAGATGCAGTCTCCACCATAAGAAAGTCCACAAGTGTTCTCATTGGAGTAAACACCATAGGCCGCATGCTTGATATTTATCATCTCCTCGCCACAGTTGATTGATATAGGTATTCCGCTATGTTCGCATGCTTCAGCTGAGTTTTCTGATCGTGTTTATTAATTTGAAAACTTTCCGACGACATGGCTGTATTTTTTATTTTCAGTTACCAGGATAAAATTGCAAATAGTTTAATATGGCAGTTAAATTAATCATTAGTTAACATTTTATAAATAACATAAAATTTAACCTGAATGGCACTCCCAGGTAGCAGTTAAGTATTTGTAAATTCCACCACAAGGATCTCCAAATATACTGTTTAGTGCTTCTACTGCACAGGAATTCTTTCCATCACATCGTTCCTTCATCGCCTGAAGAGAGGAAATTGTTTGAGATCTACTGTCAGTGTTAACAATGTTGACTCAACTTGATGAATAGCAATTTTGTGGTCAAGGATTATAATTTACATAGTTTTTTCCAACACCATTAAAATGAACATACACGAAACACAGTAAATAAGTTTGAACATATATCTATTATAAACTAGTTCAGACCTGAAGTGAAGTTTCTGAGATACAGTCTCCACCATAAGAAAGTCCACAAGTGTTCTCATTGGAGTAAACACCATAGGCCGCATGCTTGATATTTATCATCTCCTCGCCACAGTTGATTGATATAGGTATTCCGCTATGTTCGCATGCTTCAGCTGTACCGGACCCTAGATGAAATAGTTTTAATCTAAGGGATTGTCGATAAAAATTATATCATAAAATGAATCGTGGACATTTTGAACGATTTATAAGAGCAAAACTGTTTTTATGGTGGCAGTGTCCGATAATTCGAGCAGGAGCTCACATGGCCTGTTTCTTTAGTGCTAAATAATTAACATAATTAACTGTAGAAACTACAATTAATTAAACTGTAAAAGGTTTAACCTGCACAAGCTTGCTCGTTACAACTCTGTGTTTCTTCAGTGTCTCCCTCACATTCCACTCCCCCATTTGCTGGAAGGGGACTGTCGCAGTTCCTAGTTCTTGTTTGTGTTCCTCCTCCACATTCCACTGAACATGTCGACCAATCTCCATAATCTCCCCAACCACCGTCTACTTTCAATCCTGGATTTTAGAAAGGATTAGTGAATTAAAATCAGACTTAGTTTTCTGACCGTGTCTCATTAAATCTAATAAAATACGTCAAAACATTTCGACGACATGGCCGTATTCTTTATTTTCAGTTACCAGGATGATATTGCAAATAGTTTAATATGGCAGTTAAATTAATCGTCACTTAACATTTTATAAATAATTTTATTAAAATTTAACCTGAATGGCACTCCCAGGTAGCAGTTAAGTATTTGTAAATTCCACCACAAGGATCTCCAAATATACTGTTTAGTGCTTCTACTGCACAGGAATTCTTTCCGTCACATCGTTCCTTCATCGCCTGAAGAGAGGAAATTGTTTGAGATCTACTGTCAGTGTTAACAATGTTGACTCAACATGATGAATAGCAATTTTGTGGTTAAAGATTATTATTGACTCAGTTTTTCCAACGCCATTACAATGAACATACACGTAATACAATAAATAAGTTTGAACATATATCTATACTGTTAACAAATTGAGACCTGAAGTGAAGTTTCTGAGATACAGTCTCCACCATAAGAACGCCCACAAGTGTTCTCATTGGAGTAAACACCATAGGCCGCATGCTTGATATTTATCATCTCCTCGCCACAGTTGATTGATATAGGTATTCCGCTATGTTCGCATGCTTCAGCTGTACCGGACCCTAAATGAAATAGTTTCAATCTAAGGGATTGTCGATAAAAATTATATCATAAAATGAATCGTGGACAATTTCAACGATTTATAAGAGCAAAACTGTTTTTATGGTGGCAGTGTCTGATAATTCGAGCAGGAGCTCACATGGCCTGTTTCTTTAGTGCTAAATAGTTAACATAATTAACTGTAGAAACTACAATTAATTAAACTGTAAAAGGTTTAACCTGCACAAGCTTGCTCGTTACAACTCTGTGTTTCTTCAGTATCTCCCTCACATTCCGCTCCTCCATTGGCTGGAAGGGGACTGTCGCAGTTCCTAGTTCTTGTTTGTGTTCCTCCTCCACATTCCACTGAACATGTCGACCAATCTCCATAATCTCCCCAGCCTCCGTCTACTTTCAATCCTGGATTTTAGAAAGGATTAGTGAATTAAAATCAAACCTAGTTTTCTGACCGTGTCTCATTAAATCTAATAAAATACGTCAACACATTTCGACGACATGGCCGTATTCTTTATTTTCAGTTACCAGGATGATATTGCAAATAGTTTAACCCATTAGGGACGACGAGTTTTAAAGTTTGCCGATTTTGATGCCGTTTAACACACTAGGTCACTTTACAGCAAAAATGAGATATCCAAAAAAGCTAATCTGTATCTCGTTTACTTTAAAAGATACAGCTATGGTCGCATACGACCCACTCGTCCGGGTCGCAAACGACCCATCACGGTTTTTCGGCTTTAACTTCTGAAACAAAGACGTTAGGATAAAATAAAATAAAAAGCATAAGTTAAAAACATATGGTCAATACTGTGTGACTCTAACTTTTTAAAAATAAAGAATTTGGGTCATTAACGACCCACTCGGCTCACTTGCTTATTACTACATATGTCCATGTAACTTCTTGAATTCAGCCTAAAGCATGACATCATAAGTTGAAAAGCGCCTCTCAGCAAGTGATAATCATCATAAACTGCGAAAAATCGGTTAAATGGGTCATTAGCGACCCACTAAGACCACAAAATTGATTAATTAAATATAATGTTGTCAAACTTTTACAAATATTAGTATAAAAACATGTTATATCTTGGTCATTACTCCTGTACGTTGATTTAAATTTTAAAATCGATCAACTGGGTCAATAACGACCCACTCGGAAGTTGAACCACGACATTAATTATCAGTATCATGTTGTTCTACCATCAAGAAAGACACTCGTAGGTCTTAATTCCACGCAAACCACGGGTGGCTGACTACTAGCCCTTCTGAGATCTGGAGTCTCACGGTAATCTGCAGATCACGTCACCCAATGACTGACGAATAATGGGCAGAATTGGATTGATAGGTAGGTGAGTTTATCAGCTGTTAGTACACGACCGTAATGTCGTGAGACAGCAAACAACTTGCCTATCTTTTCCCGATTCCTAGAACGTCCAAGAAGAACTATACAACTGCTGGATTCAGATTTCAGATGGCTGCATCTACTCTCTTCGCAGCTCCCTTTCTTTACTTCTTAGGGGCCGTTCATATATTACGTAATCACTTATTGGACAATTTTTACGCCCCCCCACCACATAGCTATTATGTCAAAATTACACAAGCTTAATCATTTGAAAACTCCCCTCCCTCTCGGCCGATTACGTAATACTTGTTTTCGTTTTGAAAGCTGCTTCGTTGTTGCGGGGTTTGTTACCCAAAACGAGGTAGTTGTCTGAGAGATTGCAGGTTGCAGCACCACCAGCCAAATGGGGGGGGGGGGGGGGGGGGGGGCTTTTTCCTTGTCCTTCTTCACAGAGCTGTAGATGTAGCCATCTGAATGCAGCAGTTGTTTAGTTATTCTCGTACTTTCTAGGAATGAAAAAAACATATTGGCATGTTGGATTAGAATATGCAATTTGACCACTCGTCTTTCAGTATTTACCCAAGGTTACAGGATATCTCGTATACTTCGTTCAGGGGATTTTCCTTGAGTGACATGATCTGATCACCGTGGGACCCTGGGTCTCAAGCGGTGGGTTGTAGCAGGTCGTTTACCAAGATTCGAAATTGACGAAAAAGGTAACAGAATCTATAAGCAACAACAACAGCATGGCTATTACCTAGCTATAGCAAGTTAGGAACGAGGGCCGATTCCTTTTCTTTTGCGGCACGGCCACGGTCCTTTCGGTACAGATTTCCACGCACCATAGTATTATAGTCAGGACGCAACTCCAGGCATATGCAGTAGTGTTATTCTCGCAGCTCTTTGATGAGTGATGACGGCCCTTCAGTTGGCCCTGGATCTCAGAAGGGCTAGTAGTCAGCCACCCGTGGTTTGCGTGGAATTAAGACCTACGAGTGTCTTTCTTGATGGTGGAACAGCATGATACTGATAATAATTGATGAGGTGGTTCAACTTCCGAGTGGGTCGTTATTGACCCAGTTGATCAATTTTAAAATTTAAATCAACGTACAGGAGTAATGACCAAGATATAACATGTTTTTATACTAATATTTGTAAAAGTTTGACAACATTATATTTAATTAATCAATTTTGTGGTCCTAGTGGGTCGCTAATGACCCATTTAACCGATTTTTCGCAGTCTATGATGATTATCACTTGCTGAGAGGCAATTTTGAACTTATGATGTCATGCTTTAGGCTGAATTCAAGAAGTTACATGGACATATGTAGTAATAAGCAAGTGAGCCGAGTGGGTCGTTAATGACCCAAATTCTTTATTTTTAAAAGGTTAGAGTTACACAGTATTGACCATATGTTTTTAACTTATGCTACAGTTTTTATTTTATCCTAACGTCTTTGTTTCAGAAGTTAAAGCCGAAAAACCGTGATGGGTCGTTTGCGACCCGGACGAGTGGGTCGTATGCGACCGCAGTTAGTAAACAGCGTCTAGCTCTGTTTGTGAACATCTGATTATCACGGGCTTTTCTTATGTCTCAAGGAAATCGTTGCCCGCAACTATTTTGTCCTCAACAAAATAAGCCTACATAAAGTTTTAATGTCCCAATCAAGGCAAGAAGTAAAGTGAAATATTTTCCAATTATGACGACTAATTAGCCTAATTATTTAGTTGTTAGTAATTAATTGGGTCTCGACTGGAAAGTCAATAATGTAGCCCAATAAATTTTGAGCATATGTGCGAAAGATTCGTTGCGTTTAGTATTATGGTTTGTCCTCTATAGCCTCTAGAAAAGGTGGGTCGTAAACGACCCTATCGTCCCTAATGGGTTAATATGGCAGTTAAATTAATCGTCATTTAACATTTTATAAATAATTTAAAATTTAACCTGAATGGCACTCCCAGGTAGCAGTTAAGTATTTGTAAATTCCACCACAAGGATCTCCAAATATACTGTTTAGTGCTTCTACTGCACAGGAATTCTTTCCATCACATCGTCCCTTCATCGCCTGAAGAGAGGAAATTGTTTGAGATCTACTGTCAGTGTCAACAATCTTGACTCAACATGATGAATAGCAATTTTGTGGTCAAGGATTATAATTTACATAGTTTTTCCAACACCATTAAAATGAACATACACGAAACACAGTAAATAAGTTTAAACATATATCTATTGTTTACAAGTTCAGACCTGAAGTGAAGTTTCTGAGATACAGTCTCCACCATAAGAAAGTCCACAAGTGTTCTCATTGGAGTAAACACCATAGGCCGCATGCTTGATATTTATCATCTCCTCGCCACAGTTGATTGATATAGGTATTCCGCTATGTTCGCATGCTTCAGCTGTACCGGACCCTAGATGAAATAGTTTCAATCTAAGGGATTATTGATAAAAATTATATCATATAAAATAAATCGTGGACATTTTCAGCGATTTATAAGAGCAAAACTGTTCTTATGATGGCAGTGTCTGATAATTTGAGCAGGAACTCTCATGGCCTGTTTCTTTAGTGCTAAATAGTTAACATAATTAACTGTAAAAACTACAATTAATTAAACTGTAAAAGGTTTAACCTGCACAAGCTTGCTCGTTACAACTCTGTATTTCTTCAGTATCTCCCTCACATTCCGCTCCCCCATTAGCTGGAAGGGGACTGTCGCAGTTCCTAGTTCTTTTTTGTGTTCCTCCTCCACATTCCACTGAACATGTCGACCAATCTCCATAATCTCCCCAACCACCGTCTACTTTCAATCCTGGATTTTAGAAAGGATTGGTGAATTAAAATCAGACTAAGTTTAGTTTTCTGACCGCGTCTCATTAATAAGCTCATAATAATATGTGAAAACATTTCGACGAAATATGGCTGTATTCTTTATTTTCAGTTACCAGGATGATATTGCAAATAGTTTAATATGGCAGTTAAATTAATCGTCATTTAACATTTCATAAATAATTTAAAATTTAACCTGAATGGCACTCCCAGGTAGCAGTTAAGTATTTGTAAATTCCACCACAAGGATCTCCAAATATACTGTTTAGTGCTTCTACTGCACAGGAATTCTTTCCATCACATCGTTCCTTCATCGCCTGAAGAGAGGAAATTGTTTGAGATCTACTGTCAGTGTCAACAATGTTGACTCAACATGATGAATAGCAATTTTGTGGTTAAAGATTATTATTGACTCAGTTTTTCTAACACCATTACAATGAATTCATACACGTAATACAATAAATAAGTTTGCACATATATATATTGTTAACAAGTTCAGACCTGAAGTGAAGTTTCTGAGATACAGTCTCCACCATAAGAAAGTCCACAAGTGTTCTCATTGGAGTATACACCATAGGCCGCATGCTTGATATTTATCATCTCCTCGCCACAGTTTATTGATATAGGTATTCCGCTATGTTCGCATGCTTCAGCTGTACCGGACCCTAGATGAAATAGTTTCAATCTAAGGGATTATTGATAAAAATTATATCATAAAATAAATCGTGGACATTTTGAACGATTTTATATAAGAGCAAAACTGTTCTTATGTTGGCAGTGTCTGATAGTGATAATTCTATCAGGAGCTCACATGGCCTGTTTCTTCAGTGCTAAATAGTTAACGTAATTAACTGTAAAAACTACAATTAATTAAGTAATTAAACTGTAAAAGGTTTAACCTGCACAAGCTTGCTCGTTACAACTCTGTGTTTCTTCAGTATCTCCCTCACATTCCACTCCCCCACTGGCTGGAAGGGGACTGTCGCAGTTCCTAGTTCTTTTTTGTGTTCCTCCTCCACATTCCACTGAACATGTCGACCAATCTCCATAATCTCCCCAGCCACCGTCTACTTTCAATCCTGGATTTTAGAAAGGAAGAGTTGTTATATGAATTTCTGTTATATTTCACGTAACTTAAAAACTGATCAGATGAACATTGTTATACTTATTATATAGTAATTGTAAAACTCCAATTAACCGTGGAGTATGGGGCAAAGAACAGCACTATTTGTGATTCTGGATTCGGGGTTTGCGGTAAATTGGCGATCTGTTTTTCACAGTTCACATAATCATAATGTCTTCACGTAATTGTATTTGTACATGTATGTTGACTGTTGAGCCGCGTATTTGGAGAAAGTAAATGACCGTGCGGTAATTTGGGGTTTGAGTTGCGGTTTAAAGCCCAAATAGAAGTGCAGTTAATCGGGGTTTACTTACTTTCATGTTTAATTCCTGTTTAATTTAATTCCTGTTTAATCTTATGCATCATATTCATGCTGTACAAAATTTACAATTTCCCATAAGGGGTCGTTCACATATTACGTAATCATTTTTTGGAACATTTTTAGTTTTACCCCTCCCCCCCTCCGTTATAATTTTTACACATAGCTATTGTGTCAAAATTACACTATAAGCGTCATCATTTGGAAACCCCCCTCCTTCGGCTGATTACGTCGCGTCGCGTAATCGTTAATATGTGAACGACCCCTAACCGTAGGACACTCTAATTAACATTACAGGGATTAGTTAGACTTAGGGATATTAATAATAATTATTTTATGGAGCTATTTAGACGCAATTAATAACCCTAGGCCTAAAAGTAAAATGTAAAAATAAAATAATCCAGCGGTATAAATTCTTTTAAAATCTTACGATCACGAGAACTTGAAATTAAAGTTTAATACGACCATTGTAATTGTTATATAATGGACTAGCCCGGCGTGCCGCCAACGTGTGCTACTTTAAGCACTACATCGTAGCGTCAGTGCTACTAGGTAGTGCGCCATCGACAGTGAGCCGCGCGTGCCGACTGTAGGATGGTTTTTTAGCGCTAATTTCGGCCAGCACAATTTTCTTCAAACAAATAGATATTGAGTATCCTTCCCGACCTCCGATTGCAACAAAAATTGGTAAGCTTACTCATAGACTTACAAGGAAAGTGTCCGAAAAGTTTAAAGCATATCCAACTATCAGATATTATGTTACAGCTGAAAGCAGCGTATTTTGCCCCATTTTGATCACTATATCAACTTTGTAGCGCGATGCGTTACTGTGCCGCGCCGCGCACTCAATAAGGCTTCTCTGGCTAGATCGGCGAGATGCGCTACTGTGCCGCGCCGAGCTGCCATGAATTGACATCGTCAATTAATATCAACTCCGATATCCACCAAACTTTTCGGACAGTTGTGAAAGCCCTATTGGAAGGTCGTCGCCAATTTTCAGAATGATCTCATTTAAGGAACTGAATTGAAGATATATCCAAATAATACGACAAAAATCAACGAATTTGGTCAAATTTGGTCAAATTACGCGACTTTTACAGCTAATTATGCTCCAAAAGCCGCGCACCATCAAATATAGCACTCAAGCGAAACTCACTGATATTACCAAAAAAGTATGACAAATTTGGTATTGTGAAAATTCTCACAGTCTCTAAAAAACAATGGTACAAAAATTTTTTAAATCCGAGCAAGTTTATTTTTATGGCCCCTAGCACTGTACTTGCCTCATGTCTCGGGCCATAAAATTTCGAGAACTAGAAAGCGGCGCGTGCTACTAGTAGTAGTACTTCTTGGATCGAGGACTTCGCCGCTTCGACGCGCCGCGCGAACTAGCATTCTTGCTTCCATCATTTTTGAAACGATCATTCTTGCAACGATCGTCGATTGTTGCTTTGCTTCGCATTACTGCCACTGGGCTGCGCTCAGCCTGTCATTTCGCCGAACATGATAGCCGGAGGTCCTTGGTCCCCAGGTAATGCTTCGCAGAGCAACGATCTCGGTGGGTTCATGACATCGTCAATCAATAGTACTTCGAAGAAATTTAGACGAGTAACTGTAAGTTTAGTGTAACATCCGTCAAAATAATTAAATTGTAAATTTGTAATGGATTTTTTATTAGTTTAAAATACTAATTACTGCTTGACCATTGTTAATGATCTGGCCCGGCGCGCGCTACTTCGTAGCACATAGCACTTGCCATCGGGCCACATTTCTCGATCGAGAAGAAACGGCGCGCTACTTCGAATAAATTTAGACGAGTAACATCCGTTAATTAGTATAGCCATGTGTGACGTACGTGTCTGCGCGTACTGCATGATGCGCTTCGGCGGTCGCGCGCTACTGCAAGCGAGAGGGCTCTGGTTGGAGCAACTACACAGTATACAATTAGGTGAACTTTGTGGATCAGCCGAAACTACAGTTAAGTCGCAATTAGCGGGTCGATTCGACATTTGAAATCGAGGTACATCGTTTTCATGAATTTTCATGATCACCATTAATCTAACTCTAGTCTACTTCTAGTCTCTAAGCACTAAGGGATATTGCAAAGTTTAGTGTTTACTCACCTTTGCATTCGTAGTTACAGCTTTTCAGTTTTCTTTCCATAGCAGAACATTTCTTTTTTCCTTTCTTTTTCAATTTCAATGCAGATGAGGAAGCACACCCAAGGTTTGAGGTAAATCCTGAGTACAGTGTTGAGTGTATTATTTAAAATAAAATTGTTCGATAGGCTGGTGGACTTGGAGGGAACTACCTACAACCTAATAATCTAATATATAATCTAAATATCGGAATTTATTCGACGAGATTACCATGGAATTTGGATTCTGATTGTGTCAGTGTAGTATCGGGTCGTTCACATATTACGTAATCACTATTTTAGCAATTTTTACCCCCTTCCCCCTCCGTAAAAAACCGTAATCAAGACCCAACCCCCCTGGCCCGGCCTCCTCACAGCAATATTACGTAATCATGGCCTAGAGTGGCGGGTTTTTTTCGATTTTGTTGAGGAAAATACTGTTGTAATGCTTATTTAATAAAAATAAGGATGGTTGAAGTTTTACCGAAAATGGACTTGACCCATCAACGAAAATCGCTAATAAAAAACTAACAAATTACAACAATCCAGTGTGTTAGGGAGCCGCTCAAACTGTTTACTAATTGATCTTCCAAGCCTAAGGGGCGCCCTGTTGTTCCCGTGATCATGTATGCAAAAATGTACGACCGAGGTCACGTAATGAAGCCCCTAACTGAACTGCGGGCCTAATTGCCTGTTTTCGATTTAATGAGGTTTACACAACTTTCGAGCAGCTATGTTGAGATAAATGGTGATCGGTTTACTATATGTTATATTATACACTACACATTTAAAGTTAAACTTAAACATCTGTCAGCCCTTATCCTGTTAGAATTATGTGAAGGATATATCAAATGCGAGAATGCCAAAAGTTTACGACGAGAAAGATTGTACAACTATGATAAGATGTTGGTAATGGTACCTCGTTAAATCGAAAACAGGCAATTAGGCCCGCAGTTCAGTTAGGGGCTTCATTACGTGACCTCGGTCGTACATTTTTGCATACATGATCACGGGAACAACAGGGCGCCCCTTAGGCTTGGAAGATCAATTAGTAAACAGTTTGAGCGGCTCCCTAACACACTGGATTGTTGTAATTTGTTAGTTTTTTATTAGCGATTTTCGTTGATGGGTCAAGTCCATTTTCGGTAAAACTTCAACCATCCTTATTTTTATTAAATAAGCATTACAACAGTATTTTCCTCAACAAAATCGAAAAAAAAAACCGCCACTCTATCATGGCCTGACCCCCCTTCCTTGACTTTTTCCCTAGAAAACAATTTTCACTGCGTTTCATGCTACCCTGATCATGATGAGCCGAAATCATTGTTATGATATCCAGCCAAGCACCTTCTAAACTACTTACTATTACTTCTAGAGGGTAAAAAGAAAATGTTGATTATGTAATCAATGACCAAACCCCCCGGCCCCGTAATCAACCGTAAGCATTTGGAAACCCCCCTTCCCTTCGGCTGGTTACGTAATATGTGAATGACCCCTATTATATTAGTACTACTAGTACTACTAGTTAACAATCATACTTATGACCGTCCAAATATTAAGTTCGTCCGTGAACAGTTTGTTCAACTCAAAGTTCAATCAAATATTTTCCCAAACGCATTCCACTACAAACATATTATCCTGGATATGTCTACTTTTTAATTTCAGTAAATTTCAATTTCTATATCGGACTAAATTAAAGAAGTAGTTTAAAAATGTTAAATGAGTAACAACATTTGTCATAATGGGATCACTTTCTACGGCTTCCCCGCCGGCCCCGTTCGCTTTTTTTCTGCGAAAATTTCGGATTTTTGTAATGTTTATAATTATATAATCACGTGCCATGAAAATGCCCCCTCCTTGCTCCTGTACTACTCTGGCTCGCAACTGAAATCCGAATAACCTGTGTACATGCAGTGTGCTTTAGTTTTACTTATAAAAACGTAGTTATAGCTGGGGGAGTCTTACCAAGATTGAGACATTTCTTTTTGTACTTCTTTACCATCTTTTTCATTTTGTTTTTGGAAAGATTGCAGTCATTTGCAGCAGTCAGCTCAAAAACAATCAACAAAAAAGTCAACTTGACGAAAACCGTAGCCATTGTGATTTTTCACTAGTTGCTAGGTGGTACGAAACTATCAAAACACCGATAGAGAGATTAATGATAAGTCAAAGTGAGACTGTGGTTTGAAGACGTTGTCTTACTGGGTGGATCATACTCCGCATGAGGGCGGGAATAACATAACTAATTATCCTTTTATCTCTTCTGCTATTGTCTCCGGAGCTTACTTAAATTAACAAAAAGGTTGGTTAATATTTCAATTTGTTCTTAACTATCACTGGTTGACTGTATATTTATATATCAGGGAGTTTAACTTAATCTATTGGTAGGGCCTCATGAGCTCATGTTTTGACGCCTCATCATCATCAAATATTCCACATCTTTACAAACTTAGAGATAGTTGTTACTGAGCTTTGTTACTGAGCTGGCAAATAGTCAAGTAGTAGTGTTATAAAGACAAAACAATTGGAGCACCGAAGTAGTTAAGTTTGGAAGTTTTCCAAGTCTGCACCGATACAACTGGAGTACAATTAAAGAGGAATTTAGTAGAGACTAAATAGTGGTGGGTGTTCGCTGTTCAGTGTTCGTCTATTTCATGGAGAATTCAATGATCAAATAGTGTCATTTATGAGGAAAGAGTGCTATATTTTATATAGGTTATAGAGGAATACTACTTAAAATAAACCACCGAATGTTGACAATTGTTTTCATCACAGATTACATATTAATAATGTAATACATTTTATATCAGTATTATTATAGTGCAGACCATAAGTCAACTCTTAACTAATAGTGGTGTCATTCAACTTTTATTTATACTTTCTATATTTAACCAATATCTTGTTTTGATAGTCTCTCGACTAGGTTAAACTAAAATCAATTGTTATCATAATGGTAAATAGAGTTATAAACATTAGATAATTAACAGTCAACATTAACAAATATTCTAAACTCAAATATTTTTGGATACACGTCAAACTTCCACCTATTGGTAAAGTAGTCAACGAGAATGCAGAAAAAATGGGGTGACTGTTCCTAAAACCTAAACGTGCGAATTCAGAATTGTAAATTTAAAACAAAATTCCCAAAAACGTCCACTAAAAACAGGTCAGAATCTTCAAACTCTTCAAAAATCTCCAGAATCTTATAAATCAAATCACAATATTGTCAATGGTTTGAGTCCAGATAGAGTATAGATCACACCAACTTCATCAAGACAGCGCTAAGTTGGAGATAGGTGGGAGAGTAGAGCTAGATAATGGACTAGACATGAAATCTCTGAGGGGAGTAGAAGATCGTCTAGTTGGGGTCCCGGAGCTTTGGTAAGAGTCTTTGAGCTGAGGAGCCAAGCTTGACCAGTTTGGTAAAGTGGCGGATCCTGAGAGATACTGTGTGATGACTACTGACCAGGAGATACTGTGTGATACTATGTGACGACTACTGACCAGGACGCTTTTATTTTGTAAGGTGAATTCTAGCGTCCTCTTTGGTCTGAGTTTAACGGGTGATACTCGTAAAATATTGACCGTCGACGAGTCCAACTCGGCGCGCGTCTTGGTAGGTTTATATGAAAACTAAAGTAAACGAGTATGTGTATACTTTAATACTGCAATGATTTAAACGACTAACCTTTTGCGTTGTAGAAATCTCTGGAAATATATCTTTCGTGCAAATGTTCCACTGATCCCATTATGGCACCTGAAAAAGTTGTGAAGTGTGTCAGTCATCTGGATTTTAAAACAATAATTGTAATAATACATGTGCCGTGTAATTCTAAACTAGTAGTATGTAGAGCTACATGACGTCACAACACGAGATATATGACGTCACAACACGAGATATGACGTCACAACACGAGATATGAAGTCACAACACGAGATATGAAGTCACAACACGAGATATGAAGTCACAACACGAGATATGACGTCACGACACGATATATGACGTCACAACACGAGATATGACGTCACAACACGAGACATGACGTCACAACAAGCTCACCTCCAGTCCACGACATGGTATTTCGGAAGTAGTTTGGTTTGTAGAACTTTAGTTTGCCCGGAGTGAGTTTAGAATAGCGGGAATGTTCTAGAAGTGCGGCCATCTCTTGTTTTAGTCTGTGATCAAACCCAGCTAACATCGACCCTCCACCTGATAATGCAGGTACTTAATTAAACTAATTACGTAATCAGTTGTTAATAAAATTAACTTAATTAAACTAATTATAAGTTGTTAATAAAATGTATTTACAAACACATTACCAATTTGATAACTGTCAAAGACATTGGATTTCAATGCGTATATAATAATATATTATATAGTAGGGCGAATATACATACATAGTGTCGGGTATTGTGTAAATATTGTAGGGTGAATATCAATGGATCACATCACCGAATACCTAGACATCTGACTAAGACTCACCAATAATGAGTATTCTGCTGGCAAGATCTACTCTACAATCAATGGGACACTTTAGTAAACTGTCTAAAACCAAGGTTGCTATGGAGTTATCCTCTCCGTCACCATCGTACAGAACTTCTATAGACCTCTCCCTGAACAATTTACCATGGTTACTTAATGGTTACTATTGTTACCGTGGTAACGTTTAACTTAACAGTTAATACCATACGGTACTATCTTATGCACGACGAATTATACAGGGTGGGCCAAAAGTCAGTGTGCAAACGTTGGCCTTAATAGCTCAGTCACTGAGTGCCCAATTGAAATACTTCCTTCTGGTATGACTTAGTACCACCACTGGTTCGAGGAATTTGTCAACTCGAAAAATATTCGCGTTCATTTTTTTCAAATGGAGGTTCATTTTCACATTTATTTGATAGTTTGGATAATCGGATCAAGCTAAATGTTATTGAATTGTGTTTGGCCATTCGAATTACATTTGTCCTGAAAGAATTAGAACTGTAGCTTCTCAGATGACCGAGATATGAAGCATAACGAGTTTATTCATTACGTGTGATCAGGTGATTGGTTTACCTAATCACGTGATAAGGTGACCCCGTTAACTACCCCGTTAAACATTATGGGAATTGTTAAGGGTGCCCAATTAAGGTGTCGTGTCACGGTGTCACATAATCACCCAGTCAATTTTGTTAACGAGATACACAAAATGCTTGATAACTTCGTCATTTCTAATCCGTTTTGCCTCATGTTTTCAGATCATATGCAACATTTGATAATCTACCGTCTCTGAAAAAATTAGGCGTTCAGCATGTTCAGAGAAAACAATATAGGTGTTTAAATATTGAATGGGCGTGGTCTAAAATATTCGAATTTTCAAATTTTGACGACGGAATCCTCGAACCAGTAAGTACAGTATGCAATCTGCAAAGCAACAGCTCTCAAATATAAAACACGGCGGAGGTATAAGACCCAACGTTTGCACACTGACTTTTGGCCCACCCTGTATTTAATGAGTAATTAATTAATATCTATTTAGAAAACTACAAGTAAAACCCCCCCCCTCACTCTTCCCAAAGGAAGTACAAGTAAACCCCCTCACTCTTCCCAAAGGAAGTACAAGTAAACCCCCCCTCACTCTTCCCAAAGGAAGTACAAGTAAAACCCCCCTCACTCTTCCCAAAGGAAGTACAAGTAAAACCCCCTCACTCTTCCCAAAGGAAGTACAAGTAAAACCCCCTCACTCTTCCCAAAGGAAGTACAAGTAAAACCCCCTCTTCACTCTTCCCAAAGGAAGTACAAGTAAAACCCCCTCTTCACTCTCCCCCAGAAAATAAAACCACTGACCTGATTTTGCCTGAAACCACAAGATGATGTCCGTCAGACATGGGATATCTCATATCAGAAGCTCTGTGTTCTGTAATTACACCGCTCTGCACAAAGGAGGGGTCCTTTAGTTCCACTGGTCGTTCCCCGCAGAAACATGTTCTAGCTCGTATATCTTCCAGCACGGACAACTCGAACTCTCCTTCAAGAGGTTATTAATTAACTAATTAATTGAGTTTTCGCTGCTATGATTGTATATTTGACCAGATGAAAAGTTAAATCTGGTTAACATTCAAACACTGGAAGTGTAACTTCATAAGTCACGAGTTCTTGAATGAGTGGGGAACTATCGAAGACACCTTACAAGAAATTAATAAAAAGAAGAAAAAAAAAGAAAGATTTAAAAAAAAGGTTAATAAATCGTAATTTTCACAAACCGTAAAGTTCGGACGCTTTTTTGCTCTCATTTCCTACTTGTACAGTCCCTGACTCTGATATCATCCTTTGTATTGCCATGAGATGGGCATGTGTTCCCAATTCAACTGTAAGGTAGCTCTGTAATATTATCATTCCTGAGGATGAGACGTGCTATCAGACTTTATTTCAGTCACGTGACACAAACCAACCGATCAGACAGAAGACGTTTCCCTGAATTTTGTAGTGGATTTTGTAGTGGATTTTTGCGCGCCGCACGTACTTAACAATATTTATCATTGTAGAATCTACGTAGTCGTAGAGTCGTAGTACGACGGTAGCAGTCAGAAGTCTCAATAAACTGCTCGTACTTATACTTTCAAGACACTTATAAGATTTGAAAATCTAAGTAACACATCCACCCCACTCAGGCCGCCCATCCCAAATAGCTTGAAATCTGTGACAAATCCCTAAAAATCCAGAATGAGAATCTTTACCCCCTGGGCCCCTGAAGGGGATTTGTGTTGCAGAGTATTTGAAATATGTTTGGTGGTTAAATAGGTATGTACATATCCCTAACGATCACAAAGACAAGTTTTAAGCTCTTGAACCACTCAAGCCACTCACAGAGTTGGCCAATCCAAAAATGACTGAAATCCTGGTAAAATCCAGATCGAGAATCTTTACCCCTGTAGTGCTTTTATGTTCCGGGGTAGGTGGACATGTTTTAGTTTTAAAATGGGTTTCTACCCTGTCCCAAACCATCATAAAAAACAAGTTTCCCCCTCCCAAAACCCCTCAGGGGGGCCACTCCCAGGGGGCCCCGGGCCCCTCCCAAAATTTTCCGAAATTCCCCCCCCTAAAATCCCCGACTTTTTAAAAAACTTTACCCCTGGGAAATGCTTTTTATGGTTTTGGGGGGAGGGGGGGACATGTTTTTTTGTTTTAAAATGGGGTTTTCCCCGTCCCCAAACCACATAAAAATCAATTTTCGAAACCCCTCCCCCAACCCCCCTTGGGGGCCCCTTTCCCCGGGGCCCAAAGCCCATCCCAAAAATTAAAACCCAAAACCCCCCTAAAACCAGACTTTTAAAAAACTTTAAAACCCCCGTATGGGGGTTTTATGTTCCCGGGGTAGGGGGGACATGTTTTTTAAAATTTTAAAAAAGGGTTTCTACCCCGTCCCCAAAACCCTCATAAAAATCAAGGGGTTTTCCCACCCCTCCCCAAACCCAAACCCACTCAGGGGGCCCCTCCCAGGGGCCCACGCCCACCCCAAAAATTTCCGAAAACCCCCCCTAAAATTCCCAGACTTTAAAATCTTTACACCCCTGTAGGCTTTTAAGTTCCGGGGGGAAATGGACATGTTTTTTGTTTAAAAAATGGGTTCTACCTGTCCCAAAAAAAAAAACCCCATAAAAATCAAGTTTTCGACCTCTCAACCCCAAAAAACCCCCCTCAGGGCCCCCCCCCAGGGGGCCCCGCCCCCCCCAAAATTACCGGGAAATCCACTAAAATTTCCCGAAAAATTTTTAAAAAAATTTAAAAACCCCCCCTAAAGGGGGTTTTTGTTTCCGGGGGAGGTTTTACATTTTTTTTGTTTTTAAAAAAGGGGTTTTCTAAAACCCGTCCCCCAAAACCCTCATTAAAAACAAGTTTTGGAAACCCCTCAAAACCCCCCCACCAGCCCCACCCCAGGGGCCAAAGGGCCCAAACCCAAAATTTTAACCGAAATCCAGCAAAATCCCCAAATTTAAAAAAATCTTTAACCCCCCCGAGTGCTTTTATGTTCCGGGGAGGTGGGAAAATGTTTTAGGGTTTTAAAAAAGGGGTTTTAAAACCCGTCCCAAAAACCCTCATAAAAAAAACAAGTTTGGGGACCTCTCAAACCCCCCCAAGGGGCCCTCCCAGGGGCCACCGCCCATCCCAAAAAATTTTTCCGAAATCCCCGCTTTTAAAACCCGACTTTAAAAATCTTTACCCCCGTATGGGGTTTTATGGGTTTCCGGGGGGAGGTGGGACATGTTTTAGTTTAAAAAAAAGGGTTTTCTACCCTGTCCCCCAAAACCCCATAAAAAATCAAGTTTTTGGGCCTCCCCAAAACCACCCCCCCAGGCCACCCCCCAGGGGGCCCCGCCCCCATCCCAAAAATTTCCGGAAAACCAAACTAAAATTTTCCCCGACTTTAAAAAAAACTTTAAAACCCCCGTAAGGGTTTTTGTTCCGGGTAGGTGGGGGCAGTTTTAGTTTAAAAAGGGTTCTAAAACCCCTTTTCCCAAACCCCATATAAAAACCCCAATTTTGACCTCTAACCCCCACTCAGGCCACTCCCAGGGGGCCAAAGCCCCCTCCCAAAATTAAAAGAAATTCCCCCCCCGCTAAAAAAACCAGACTTTAAAAAAAAAACTTTAAAACCCCTGTATGGGTTTTAAGTTCCCCCGGGAAGGGGGGGGGAAAATGTTTTAGTTTAAAAATTGGGTTTTTAAACCCGTCCCAAAAACCCTCATAAAAATCAAGTTTTTTCGGGCCTCCAACAACCAAAAAACCCCCCTCAGGGGGGCCCCTCCCCGGGGCCAAAGCCCATCCCCAAAAATTTAAACCCAAAAACCCCCCCCCAAAATAAATTTCCCGACTTTAAAAATCTTTTCCCCCTTTTGTTTTTATGTTCCGGGTGGTGGGACAGTTTTAGTTTAAAAAATGGGTTTCTACCTTTCCCAAACCCCTCATAAAAAAACCCAAATTTTTCACCCCTCAAAAAAAAACCCACTCAAAGGGGGACTCCCAGGGGGCCCCGCCCATCCCAAAATTTTCCGAAATTTCCCCCGCTAAAAAATCCCCGACTTTTAAAAACTTTAAACCCCTTTTGTGGGGTTTTATGTTCCCGGGGGTAGGTGGGGGGCTGTTTTAGTTTTAAAAAAAAAAGGGTTTTAACCCCGTCCCCCAAAAAAAAAATCATAAAAAAACAATTTCGACCCTTTAAAAACCCCCCTCCAAGGGGGGGGGGGCCACTCCCAGGGGGCCCCGCCCCCTCCCAAAATTTTAAACCCAAAATTCCCCGGGTAAAAACCAGACTTTAAAAAAATCTTTTACCCCCCCGTAGTGCTTTTATGTTTTCCGGGGGAGGTGGGAATGTTTTTTTGTTTAAAACAAATTTCTACCTGTCCCAAAAAAAAATAAAAATCAAGTTTTCCGGGCCTCCCCCAAAACCCCCTCCCAAACCACTCCCCGGGGCCACCCCATCCCCAAAATTAAAAACCGAAAATTCCCCCCTAAAAGATCCAGACTTTAAAAAATTTACCCCCCTTTTTTGCTTTTTTGTTCCGGGGGGTGGGACATGTTTTAGTTTAAAAAAAGGGGTTTTAAACCTTCCCAAACCATAAAAAATCAAATTTTCCCCCCTCTCCAAACCCCCTCAAGGGCCCCTCCCAGGGGCCCACGCCCAACCCAAAATTATAAATCAACCTAAAATTCCAACCCCTTTAAAAACTTTTTAAACCCCCGTAGTCTTTTAAAGTTCCGGGGGAAAGGGTTTTACAAGTTTTAGTTTAAAAAAAAAAGGGGTTTTAAACCCTTTCCCCAAACCAAACATAAAAATCAAGTTTTCGACCTCTCAACCCCCCAGAAAACCCCCCTCCCAAGGGGGGCCCCGCCCATCCCCCCAAAATTTTTAAACCCAAATCCAGCTAAAAACCCCAAATTTTTAAAAAAAAATTTAAAACCCCGTAGTGCTTTTTTTCCCGGGGGATGGGGGGCATTTTTTAAAATTTTAAAAATTGGGGTTTTTAAACCTGGGCCCAAAAACCCCATAAAAAAACAAGTTTTTCGCCCGGCCCCAAAAACCCCACCAAAACCCCTCCCAGGGGGGCCCCGCCCAACCCAAAATTTACCGAAAAAATTCCAAGGGGTAAAAAATCCCAAAATTAAAATCTTTACCCCCCCTTTTGGGGGGCTTTTATGTTCCCCGGGGAGGTTGGGGCATGTTTTTTTAAAAAATTTTTTTCTACCTGTCCCAAAAAACCCTCATAAAAAAACAAGTTTTTCGACCTCTCCAAAAACCCCCTCAAGGGGGGGCCCCTCCCAGGGGGGCCACGCCCATCCCAAAAAAAAAAATTTCCGAAAACCCGGGTTTAAAAACCCCCGACTTTTTAAAAACTTTAATTAAAACCCCAGTATGCTTTTATGTTCCCCGGGTTTGGTGGGACATGTTTTTGTTTAAAATGGGGTTTTAAACCCGTCCCAAAACCCCTCATAAAAAATTTTTTTTCGACCTCCCCTCCCCTCAAAGGGGCCCCTCCCGGGGGGGCCCCGCCCTCCCAAAAAAATTAAAACCCAAAAACCCCCCCCAGCTAAAAACCAACTTTAAAAAAACTTTAAACCCCGTAGTGCTTTTTTGTTCCCCCGGGGAGGTGGGACATGTTTTTGTTTAAAAATAAGGGTTTTTTACTTTTCCTGTCCCAAACCATCATAAAAATCAAGGGGGTTTCCCCACCCTCAACCCAAACCCCCCCTGGGCCACTCCCAGGGGGGCCCCCCCAACCCCTTAAAAATTAAAACCCCAAATTCCCCCCCTAAAATCCAGCTTTAAAAAAACTTTAACCCCCCTTAAATGCTTTTTTTGTTTTCCGGGGGAAGGTGGGGCATGTTTTTTGTTTAAAAATGGGTTTTCCTTCTTAAAAATGCCCAAAAAAAACCCTCATAAAAAAAACAAGTTTTGTCCCTTTGGGCCTCTCAACCCACTCCCGGGGGGCCACTCCCAGGGGGCCCAAAGCCCCCATCCCAAAAAAAAAAACCCAAAAATCCCCCCGCTAAAAAAAAACCCCGACTTTTTTAAAAACTTTAAAAAAACCCCCGTAGGGGCTTTTATGTTTCCGGGGTAGGTGGGGCAGTTTTAGTTTTTAAAAAAAAGGGGTTTTAACCCGTCCCAAAAAAACCCTCAAAAAAAAATCCCAAATTTCACCCCAAAAAAATTTAACCCCCTCAGGGGGCCCCTCCCAGGGGGGCCCCGGCCCCCTCCCCCAAAAAAATTTCCGAAAAACCAGCTAAAAATCCCCCGACTTTAAAATCTTTTTACCCTGAAATTTTTTATTTCCCCGGGGGAGGGGGGACATGTTTTAGTTTAAAAAAAGGTTAATAAAAAGGCCCAAAACCACATAA